TACCATTTATCCTATTGGATCGCAATCCTGGTCTTTTGTTTCTTTTCCTTTGCTTCTCGGCGCCTAGCTGTCGAGAAATCTAATTGGTGTTAGTGGCCTGCGTTTATGGCCATTCTTGAAAGTTTTGGTGATTGACGAACCTAATGATTGAAGACTCGAATTCGGTTTATAGACACATATCACGACTTTTTTTAGACGATACAATTAGAGTTTGATGCCAGCAGAAAGTTGAAGCCCTAGAATTCTGTTGCATTATCTTGCGAGCTCCATGGCCTTACTACAAACTCTGACTGGTCACCTGTGAAATGGGCTCAGTGGAAATTACAATCTTACTGATTCGAAGCGAAGAAGCGAAGGGATATGCTGCAAGTATCGGTCCAAAGAAATAGTCATTGACTTCTTAAAAATTAACATGACAAAGACAGACTCGTTGACTTCGTACAAATATCCCCCTTAGACAGGGTGAGGCATAAGAAATAGACGCACGACCACAGATAAATATCGAAATAGATATCCAGGCGGACCAGCCAGATAGACCTCTGACCTATCCATGCTTCTTTCGCTACCAGCTCCTGCCTTTTTTTCTTCCACGACCACTCACGCAATTCAGTTTCACCTCGCTTCACCTCACCTCGCGTCATGTCACTCATGTCATACATGCTTGGTTATAAGTTTGAATATGTTCACAGTAGAACAACATCAGCATATTGCCGCGCCTCACGTAACTTCATACTAGTCCGAGGGGGACTGATATGCACCCTCGGAAAAGTAGATGATGGCTATGATTGTACATCAATCCTTCAAAGGTCCTTCTTGACGATGTGGGCCTTGGGAAGGGAGCCAGCGCGGTCGATGGCGCTCTGGCGAGCTCCAGCAAGACCGAACTGAGTAGCGATACCCTCAATACGGTGGGTAGAGTTGATGTTCTTAACAAGGGTAAGCTGCCAGCAGGTGGCACCACCCTGGCGGGAAGTGATAGTGGAGGATGCAAGGAAGTACTCCCAGATCTAAGAAAGATATTGTTAGTAAGAAAGTGCATGGACCCCAGAAAGATCCACTGGGAGAATCCTGAGAGAAACTTACGCGGAACCAGCGCTTTCCGTACTTGGCCTCGACCTTGTCGCGGTTGCCCATCCAGTTCCGGTACCAGCGCCAGAGGGTAGCAGAGTAGTGCACGCCAATGGTGTCAACAGCCTTGACTTCAAAGCCAGCGCCCTCGAGATGGTCGACAACGAAACCGAGAGGAGTACTGGCATCGGCACCGGGGAAGATGTATTTGTTCATGAAAAGACCCCAGATCAGGTCCTCGTATTGCCAGGACTTGCGGAGACCAGCGATCTGCAGGAAGAAAGTACCATTGTCGTCGAGCATGTCGTAAACCTGAGATAAGAAAGTGGAGAAGTGGCGGACACCGACGTGCTCGGCCATCTCGAGACAAGTGATGTGTTGATAACCACCCTCAATACGAGGAGCATCGCGGTAGTCACTGCACACAATGCGGCTCTGGTCCTCTTCGATACCAGCCTTGCGAAGACCATTGTTACCCCACGCGGTTTGATTACGGCCAAGAGTGATACCGGTAACGTGAGCGCCGTAGTGGGTCGAGGCGTATTTAGCAAGGGTTCCCCAGCCGCAGCCAAGATCAAGGACCCGGTCACCGGGCTTAAGACCAATCTTCTCGCAAACAATGGCCAGCTTGTTATCCTGGAGCTCCTCGAGGGTCTCCTCCCTGTTGATGTCGCTGATCACACCGGAGGTGTAGATCATGCGTGGGCCAAGGAACCAAGCGTAGAAGTCGTCACCTCTGTCGTAGTGATCACGGACCTGCTCCTCATCTACACAATGTTAGAATTGCCACCAGAGCTGCATGAAGTGTTGCTTACCCTGAGAACGAGTGTGCATCAGCATCTCGGGGATGAAACCAAACAGGAAGTGCTTGAAAAGACCAGTAGTGAACTTGAAGTTGGCCCAGTCATGACGGTACTCGAGGCACTCCAGAGCATCGCCCTTGAAGTCAACCTCACCATTGAAGTACTTCTCATAAAATATCTCCATGGGAATCTTGCTCTTGCCGTGGTAGGTAGCACGATCGTGCTCGCTGTGGAACTGCAGGTAGTGCTCGACGGGGCGGCCACAGTACTTGGCCTTCTCGGTCTTGCGAGGAGAAACAGAGGAAGAGACAGCCCAGAATGCCACCAGGACGGGAACGGAGGTGAAGAGGGCAAAGAAGATGGTGGTATAGAAACCTCCACCAACCTGGCGAGCCAGCCACCAGGGCACGATGATCTCCAAAGCAATCATCAAGCCATTGGAGAAGCTGTCGCTGCCGGGAGAGTCGGCAGGAACTGGGGCATTCTTAATAGTCGGGTACTGAATAGAAAAAGAAGCAAATTAGGTCCTGGAATCACCAAACATCGGTCACGGATAGCTCTAGGCATGCACTTACCAGGGTAGTCGGGACACCGCAATCGAAGGCAGGCTTGGTCTGCGCGGGGGCAGCCGGAGTCTGGATGTATTCGAACTCCTCGGTGGAGTCCGGATGAATGGTCGTCATGGCGGCGAAGCGTCAATTGAGAGGAATGGGAGAGGAAAAGGAGAGGCCAGAGAGTAAATAAGAAGTTATGGGCAATTCCGGGGCGGTGTGAGCTAAACCAAGGTATGTACCTGGAAGTACATGATTGGTACTTGCCGTTCCCTGGGCGGCCTGGCTGGGGACCTGGTACCCGCGAGGTACACCGTGTTTACTCTACTCCCCCGTCCATTGGGCCCTATTTTTTCCACTAATTCCACTAAGGTATGTGAACTATTATCGCAGAGATTTATGGGGTCCGTGTAGCAAGTGGGGAGTGTGTTTCTCCGATTCATAAAAATTGTGTGAACACAACAGCCATTAGCAGTGATCGAGGATTCACACTTAATCAAGATTTGGTGTGCGACCTCGCCTGTCTGCCTCTTGGCAAAGGATCATCATGAGAGTGGAGAACGCCTGAAACAATTTGGTCCGCGGTTGAAGGGCTGCAACCTATCCAGTTACAAGTACATTAATACTATTTCATAACGCCGGCATCCTTCGGCTTGCCGCCAAACCCCTACACCATATGAGCCAATGTCGATCTCCATATGCCAAGTCATAACCATACTGAAGTGAAATTGTAATCCCCCTGTCGATGTCAAGTATCTTTACCAATGTACCCTTACAGAGTGAGCTGGAAGCTCTGGGCCTCATCATCTTCGTCAAATGTGGGCAATGGTTCTTCCGGTTCCTGGGTGATCTCATCCGGGGCATCGAAGCATCCAGCAGCATTGCAACGAGTCCACATTTCCGAGTCCAGCGGAGGGGGGCCATACAGTTGCATATAAGTTTCGGGAGACAGGACCTGCGAGCTCGAGGGCTTCTGCGTTTGGGAATGATTCTCACGCAGGGTGGACGACACACTGCGTCCCTTGGAATAGCCAACGGTCGTACGAGAGTTGACAATAGCAGCAGTATTGCGCATGGAAGACGGGTTAGACGGGACTCTGGCATGCCTCTTGGGCATAACCAGCGACGATGCCAACGATGCCACCCGTGGTTTTGGGATTGGGGCCACTCGAGGTGCAACAGTTGGCCGGGGTCCGCCAAGCGCAGCGACAGCATCGCGAGCTCGAAGCGTCGACACATTGCGAGTGTGTCGTGTGGTGGTTGTAGGTCTTTTTGAGGGGATAGCATTTGGCTCAAGTGTCTTTGTCGACTCGCTCTCACCAGAGCTCTCAAAACCAATGTCGTCGAGTTGTTTCATGATCATGTCATTCACCATCCTATCGCACGCCGCCGAATCCTCCTGGAACTTGCGTTGTTTCGCCGTGAGTCCATCGCTGCCGACTTGTTGCTTTCCGTAAACACTCTCCAAACCCAGAGCTCGATTCTTCGGTTGGAATTGGGGAAATGTAGTGTCATACGTCACATCGTCTGGAAGGTCCGGAAGATCTATAGCTCGTCAGAAATAAGCTTTTGGGTTGCAGCTCTAGTTGTGCTTAGCGTACCTCTAGGCTTCGGCGGCATGTATTCAATATCCGGTACATCATCTGCAGCAGCATCGATATGGACTTTTGCTTGGGCCTGCTGTGTCACTGGGGCAGCTTTTCTGATCTTCTGGGCAGTCGACTGTCTGCGGTTTGTCCTCGGTTGCTTGGTTCCCCCAAAGGGCGCAGGAGTTTGGAGGTTGTTGGCTTTGAGATTGGTCGTTTTCATGCCCAAAGGAGCTCGGTCCCTCACTATACGCGAGAAGACAAGTCAGTCATTATCCAACGTCACCTGCAAATCTGTCATTTTCGCGCAGCACGCGTACCCATTGGAGTCATAAACGCGTTGCTGCCCGGTTTCCCATTATCCTGGCGGTTCCCATTGCCCTTCACCGTGCGGTTTCCAAATGCCAGCGGGTTGTTCTCGTCATTTCGTGCCTTGCCGGGTGTCTTGGGTGCCAGCGGCTTGCTTTGGTTCAAGGGCTTAGCAGCCGCGGCGGTCTGGTGGGTATTTACCAGGTTTTCCTGGTCGCGAAGAGCCAACATGGTGGCCAACTGAAGCTGTTGATTCTCATGCACCGTATCAAAGAAATCCAAGTCGTGTCGTAAGTGTGTTGAGTGTAATCAAGAGCCAGCACAGTTCTAGATGCAGCCCTGGAAGTGTTGTCAAGTGGTTGCCCGTGGAGACGCGTCGATCCTTGGGCGGTGATTGGCTGCGAGCCAGAGCGGATTGTGTACCTAACCATACCACGGGTACGCCGTTGGTACACAGTAAGTATCCGGTACTTCCCCTGTAGTGGAGCTCGTACGTGTTGGGCTAGTACTGTCTACTTGTTCCCTGCTCAGCCTTTATTCCTCCCCTTCTCTCCCAAAACTCTCCCCATATCATCTTCCACACCCATCCAACACTCGCCCGGTTTCTCGCTGAGCGAAAGCCAAACTACTCTTCTTTTCAACCATACATATTATCTTCTTTCCTCCCTTTCAATACCGTTAAAATGGACAAGATCAAGGAGGTAAGTCATTTCCCCTGCCGGCGGGGTAGCTTGACTGCCTCCCAAAATCACGCAGCCCCTCCTCATATGCATATATGCATACCACCCCAGCATTCCATCACTTCCCCACTGAATATTTTACTAATATGTCGGTATTTATTTTAGCGCATGGTCGCCCTCCGCGCTGAGGCGGATGAGGCTCACGAGCTCGTCGATGAGCTCAAGGCCAAGGTCAAGACCTTGGAGCAGGAGAATTTGTCAAAAGAACAAGAGATCACATCCCTGAACCACCGCAACCAGCTTCTAGAGGAGGAGGTTGAGAAGACAGAGGCCGCCCTCAAGGAGGCCAAGGATGCTGCCAGCCAGAGCCTCCAGCACGACACTCAGAACGAGGCCCTTCAGCGACGGGTGCAGCTTCTTGAGGAGGAGGCTGAGGAGAACGACAAGACTCTGCGGGAAACCAATGAGAAGTACGACCAGCGACCGGTTCTTTCACAGTTACATACTGACATATTGGGCACTTAGGCTCCGCCAAACGGATATCAAGGCTGGTCACTACGAGCGGAAGGTGCAGGCGCTCGAGGACCAACACGCCAAGCTCGAGCAAAGATACGAGGATGCGATCAAGGAACACAGCACTGTGAAGAAGGAGCTTGACGACCTTGCATCCCAGATGGCCGATATCTAAGCTGGCTCGAACCGGTGATAGGTGCAGGATATCGGGAAACATATGGTTGGATACAAGCTTCATTCTCTGGTTTGTCATCTGCTTTTTCATGCTGTGACTGTTTGTGTTACACTGGTCCCAAGTGTATGGACCGGATACAGCGCTTTTGATAGCAATACCTTTTTTTATCATGCAACGTGCACTACGGTGTCTACCATTTCCTACATCTTCCTTGCATCTTCCATAATGTCAAACGCCTATGATCCGTAAAATTGACTAATGAATAATTGCTTGAAGCCGAGTATGCACATGTGATGTCGTATCTCTTTCAAGATGTGGTTCCCTTATTCCTCTGCCCCCTTTCGCGCCTTTGCTCTTTTCGCTTTCACAGCCCGTTGCTTTAACATTGTTTGCTTGCGTTCAACCTTGGTCTCGTAGCGGAAGTTCCTCTTTTTTTTCCTGGCTGCTTCTGAGGCTGCACTCCGGGGCTTTCTCTTCTTGGCTGTTGTGTCATCCTCTGTCGACTCGACCGGATATTTTTTCTCTTCTTCATTTTCTGAGTCCTCCCCCTGGCAGCCTTAAGCAGACCCTCACGAGATGCGTCCATTTCTTCAACCGTGACTGTTGTGTATTTGTCCTCGTCGACGTATTCGGCTTCGTAGTCCACTGCTGGAGGCTCTTCAATTCCCTCCCAATCTTCCTCCTCTTTCTCGCCTTCCATTGCGCCGAGATCTCCAGCATCTTCTTTCATGCGCTTGAGTACTGCTTTATGCTCCGCCATTGCCTGTTCGAAGTCTCTTTTGCGATCCTCTCGAATCTAGAAAAATTAGTGGGTGTCTTTGGGCACAAATTGAAGCCTGTCGAACCTTTTTTCTTGCTTCTCTCTTCTCCTCTTTGTATCTCTTGGCGGCATTGTCTTGCGCATGTTTGGCCCGTTGCACTTTGCGTTTGTGAAACCCAGTCAAGTATTCATGGCGGGATTCGTCGTCGAAATTGACCTCTTCAACTTTCGGCCCAGTAACAATTTTGCGCTTTTTCAAATCCTTGGGACCCATGGTGAATGAAAATCCCAATCTCAAGTATATTTGGATCGAAAAGAGAGTAGACCTTTGTATATCGTAGGTTGTGTTGAAACTGCGTCAAAAGCCAAAAAAAAAAAGTTGATATGGAAAGCTCAGGCGGGTCGGGGTTCTCGACCGCCTCCGAGGCCAAGTCGGACACCTCCCGTTGGCAACATCATCGCCAACCTGACCCATCCCCAACGCAAACACAATGTATCTCAGCAGGTTCGGGCTATTGGCCCTCGGGGCTGCTTCCGTAAATGCTTTCAGGGATACTTCGCCATTCTTTCTCGCCTCAACTTCTGAGTATGCTTGATTGAATCTCTCGCGCTGCGTTTAACTAACCGGCCCTCCCTTAGGGTCTTGACGAACTCCGCCTACATCCAGACAGGAACTTCGCTCCTCGAGAACCTTTCCTCATCTCTCAGTACCTGTCCGTCAGATTACTATGTCGTCGTCTACCAGCCTGGTGTGCACAGTTCCGACTTCTCGACGCGAAAGTCGGCACCCCGCTTAGGTGCGAAGATGCTCGGGAAAGACAGCTCGATCCGGTCCAAGATGAGCATCAACGAAGTCGCTGGCCTGGTGGAACCCAAGGATGTCAAAAGCATTTTGGAGGAGAAGTGCAAGGCCCAGACTACCGCCGTCGACGCTTCCTGTAAGTTGCTTTGATGGCCAACGACGGAACTTGGCAAAATCCGCGAAGAACGTCAGAGCTAACAATGTGAAGCTGGATCTTACCCCTCATACTTCGAGAAAGGTCCCCGAATTATTGATGTCGAATTCCCCATGCTATCGCTAGGTTCGGACCGCGCACAGCAGCTTTCTGGATTTGGTATGTATGCAGTCCGCCTATGCACTTATTTCTCACTAACTCTGCTAGATGGTTTCCTTGCCGATGTCGTTGATCGAATTCCTTCCTCGTCTAAGTATACTATTCTCTACATTACCTCACCGAGGGAGTTCCCCGAGACGGATTCCGTCATCTACGACATCTCTGGGGACTCGTACCAAGACACCCTCCACATGGAGCTCAAGCGGGACTACTCCGCGCAAGGCAGCGCCTCGAGCCAGTCGACCAATTCCACCTCTCTCTTCGAAGAATATCAATACTTTACCCCAGGTATGTATCTATCAATCCCACCTTCTATCTATTCACTATACTCACCCTTCTCCAGGTATCTTCATGGGACTCATGGCTACCTTCCTGTTCCTCGCAATTTTGTATATTGGCATCGGTGCTCTAAGCAGCCTCGAGATTCCCTATGCCGCATTTGAGAAGGACACCTCGGCTGCTGTGCAAAAGAAAGCGCAGTGATTTGTAGCGCTTTGTTGGATTATATTTTTGGAATCCACCCATTGCTGCAATTGATTTCCTTTTTTTTATCAGGGGTTCAGGGACAATTACCTCGTATTCCCATGTATGATATCTCATATTCTCCCAGTTTTTCGAATGTTAGATTTGCCAACGTAAATGCGCAAGTCCTTGTATCTTTTTTTGACTGTCAGGTGACAATCTCAGGGTTGCCTAAGGCACCCCTCTCCTTTAGCGTTGGCGTCTTTTCGGTTAGAAAGGCCTCTTCTTGTAGTCATTTTCAGGGAACTAGTTGGCCTCACCTGAACAACAGTCATTCGTTTATGAGAGATTTCCAACGCCTCACCCCATATGGAAATTCGTTGATTGTTGATCCGTTGCATCTACCAATATTTCACGAGAGACCGCAGTCATTGTCGGAACCAGCAGCGATTTTAACTTTGCTAAACGGATTTCGTTGATGCGCTGATTTAAATTGATAATAATCTGCTTTGTTCCTCGCTGTCGTTGGGATCGGCGCCTACTGACCCGCACATTGTGGAGAAGCAGCTGGTCGATTGTTTACGCTGCCATGCGAGTTCTACCGCAAAGGCTTGGGACAGCCAGTCCGTCATCCCTACTGCTACTGTTTCTGGTCATTGCCATCGCTGCTCAAGTGTCTGCCGTACCAGCGGACGATACAACAACGAATACTGATGCCGCTAAGACCACCGACGATCCTTCGACCACTCAAAGCACCTCTAGCGTGAGTGAGACAACCACTTCTTCAACCACTTCTCAATCGACGTCAAGTTCTACCACCAATACGACGTCCTCTTCTTCGACAAGCACAACCATGGATACAACCACCACATCCTCCTCTTCCTCCTCCACGACGTCCGACAGCAGTACAACTACATCATCCGTCTCCACGACAACGAAATCATCAACATCCTCCTCCACCACAACCGGCGCTATTGTGACGATACCACCAATAGCCAATGCCCCATATATGAAAGAGAGCAGTGCTCCAGAAGGCACAGTGTTCATCGCCGTCGGCGCCGCGCTAGGGCTGATCGGCCTCACTCTGCTCGCGTGGCGCGCAATGGTCGCATGGTCCGTAAACCGCTCAGTGCGCCGCGCCGCCGTAAGGCATGCCTCGGAATCCAAGCGCCTCCTACGTGGCAGCAGAAAGAAGCGATCAACCCCCTACCCCGTCGCCCCGGTGGCCGACGTATCCCTCGATAAACTCGGCACCGCCACTCGCGCAAGCTACAAGCCCAACCGGGTCTCGAGCACGAGCAGCGGTCTTTTCTTTTCGCCTACAGCAGGCGGTCCTACTGGATCGCATGCAAATCTGCACGCTACAGGAAATACGGGGAATCGTGGCTCAACATACCTGCCTGCTGGATACTACGCCGCTGCCGGTGGCTCCAACCCCGCTCCAAATGGAGAGCCTCCTTACTCGCCCACTGCTGGCCTATCGTCGCCTTCTCTGCCTCCTGTTGGTGTCTACCATGATTCGCATAACCATCGCCACTCTTATATGGGTGCCTCGACGAGTTCCTTGAACCTGAATCAAGCGCCGCAGGGTCGTGCTCCTAGCGCATACCTTGAGGACTTGTTTGAGACTCATGCTCCTCACAGCTCTGATTCGGGCCGTCGGTAACGCCACTGGTTTCGGGCTCTGGGCATGCTAGTCATCATATGAAGGAATGATCTTGGCGAACTGTTTTTGGATCTACATTGAGATCTCTTTCTCTTTTTCTTTACCTTGTGCTCTACATCTATTTTCTTGTCCATTTTCATTTCGGCGTTCCACAAATTCTTTCACATGAGGTCATCTGCTATTTTCTGTGCACTATTATCTACTACTCCTTGTCAATATATATCAGTTCACACACAAAGTAATTCACGAATGGATATAACCACAATTCTACTAGTATTTTGCTCCCCTTGCAGTCGATATCTTTAGCATTAAATGTAGGAAAAGATTGATCGAAACGTTGTGTTTATAGAGGTGATAATCACATCATGAGGTATCGTTAAGGCCAACCGAAAAGGGTAGTAAGAAAAATCAAAGGAGTCATCAAGCCGATTCATAACAAAACAAAGAATATGTGCTTAAACCGTGGGACGGGGGTATGGGGTATCTACGGGTTCAAAAGAAATCGAACTAGTCAATGCGCTTGTACAGCTTGGCCTTGGGGCCAGCAGACGAAGCTCCGGCACAACAGGTATCAGGCTTCTCCTCGGGGTGGAGTGAAGATTTGTTGAACAACTGGGAGGATTGAGGGACGTCAAGAGCCGGGTTTTTGTTGAAGAATCCATCAGGCTTCAGAATGACGCTAACGCGCTCCATCGGCATGACGGGGAAGTCTTCAATGCGGGGGTTGTGGGTAAGACCGAAGGCTGTAGGGGTTTGTTAGTTATACAGTACAGATCAAGTCGCGGGGAGGAATGCTTACTGTGCCAAAGAACGACGTCTTCGTTCTCTATGTTGTCCTTCCGCTGCACCCAAGTCTCGACGCCCTCGGCGCGACGGCTTTGGTTGGTGAACTCGCCTGCAGCGTACAGTTCATCATCCTGGTACTTGGTGACCCAGATCGGCTTGGTGGCAAACTCAGCACGGCGGAAGCCGTGGGCTTCCTTGCTGACCAAAAGCATTTGGCTAGGAGCGGCCATAAGCTTGTATGCAACAGGCTTATAAGTGATTGGGTTGGTAATATTGTCGTTCCGGATCTTGAAGACGCGGTGGCGATCCACGCTGGTGTTTGCTGTGCCTGCCGTGTGCATCACCGTAGACTCAGAGGTATAGCCCACAAGGTATGGATTATTCTCGTCTTCTGGCATAGGAACGCTATCCTCGTAATAAATGGTGTTCTTAAATCCATCAATAGCAGGGTCAATCCGTAGGGAGAACATGTGCTGGTGGAAGGGAGCCATAACACCAGGACCGACGTTGGTACCCCAAGGGACGGTTTGGCCATTCTCGTTGTCGAATGGAACAGTGGAAAGGATTCCGGTGGCCCGGACTTCCAATTCAATATTGCCGGCTTGATCAAAGATGTAGTTAAAGATATACTCATAGTTAGCCACAGTGCAGATCATCTGTAGAACCAACTGGCGGTTGCGCACAACGGTAGCGGCACCGGTCCGATAGTTAGTATGCTTATGCTGCAAGCCGTTATCCTGTTCATGCATGCAAATCACGTTCTTCAGGTGCAGTGGGTTGCCTTTAGAGTCGTTGCGGTAACCATCAAAATACTTGATATGGCCGAGACAATCACATCCAAGAGCTAACTGATTGGCATTCATACCAAAACCAGTGTCGCCGACATCAAACGCCTGCTTGCGGTGGTAGGGGGCTCTGGGATCTAGATGCGTGTGAGTCGGATCTATCGGGGGTTAGGGGTGATAGGGCTCCAATCCCACTCACCTCCATAGGGAACAGTCATCTCAGAAACAGCCAAACGATACAAGACGTTTCTGTTATCATACGTAACGTTGTAGATAATCAACCCTTCCCGAGCGTTGAACCCCACCCTGAAGCGCCACTTCTGCCAGTAGACGGAGTTGCCATCCACCGAATAAGAAGGGCCCTCGGGCTGTTGTACGATATATGGCTTGAGATCGGTGCGAAGGGGCTCATCCAAGAGGTCGTGAGCGTACTGGATTGCCTTGACAGGCTTCCAAGGCTGGGTAGAGGTAGTCTCGAAATCAGCACCACCGGGCAGGTAATCCATACGGATCAACTCATGAGTGAGACCGTCGAACACGGGTGAGAATTTGCAAGGCAGAGAGTAGTGATTGTTCTGGGGGTGATCCACTTCGACCATGTACATAAAGCATTGAAAGAGCCGTCGGTCCTCGTTGTCATTGTCTGTGCCATACATCCAAGGGTCATTACAAACAGTGATGCCCGGGGGCAGCTGCAATTTCTCGATCTCAGCTAGTACGGCGGGATGCTTCATGCACAACTCTTCAATTCCGGCAATTTCATCGATGTCAATGGGACCCTATAGAGCGGAAATATTGATTAACCCATTGCTTGCATCGTGAGGGAGAGGGGCTCTGCCTACTTGGACCTCCTTGGGAAGCTCCTTGGCATAGACAATGGTGCGCCTGTCGGCATTGAGGATAGCCTTGTAGAATGTGCCGGTGTCCAGGCGGTGGAAGAGCACATAGAGGAGACGGGCCGGAGGTGGGGGTAGCGGCTGCCGTAGACGCTCTGCTTCGATGTATGCGATAACATCTTTCTTGATAGGCTCATTGACATCAATTCGCTTGTAGCGCAGAGAGACACCCGGGAAGGCCGCCTCAAGGATGCGTACGGCAAGCTTGATCTCCTCCGGTGTGATTGGGTCGAATGGGTGCGGGCCGTGGTTGGTTACCATTTTGGCGGCGTTCTGGTACACTTCAGAAATAGAGATCTGAGGCGGCTATGGGAGGTCTTGGAGTGGAAATATCACACGAATCCACAGAGAAGTGGGAGGAGACAAGTAAAGAGGGCAAGAGAGGTATCCAATGAGAGAATAGACCCAATGTTGTACATTGAAATATCTCGCACCTGAGGAGCCCTGCCCCGGGGCTCTTATCGGGTTACATAAGGTGTGGCTGGACCTGCCTGATTGGGTAAAAATACCAGGGCAGTTGGAGAAGAAGAGTCTTGGCTCTGATAGATTAGGGCAACGTGGAGTAAAGATGGAGATACGGGGTTAAACTCATAGCGATAAGACTCGATCAACTGACAAATTTTATTTTAATTTAATCTAACTATCTCAATGATCTACACTGATTGATCCTAGCACGGGAGGAGATCAATTAAAGCGCAAAGTCACATGATCTCCAATCCACAATTGTGGGGTCGGCGTGAAGTTGTCCAAATTCGGTTTAGTGTGATTTGCTATCGATAAGTGACTACGGAGTACGGAGTAACTAACTAGTTGGTACATACTTCTCTTACGTATGGATCACTACAACATACGTAGCAATGGCACAATGCCGCATTTTTGATACTGTAATAAGTGAGTATGAAGCAAGAAGCCATGGTATCAAGGTTGATACTACTACGGTATCCCGGATGTCACGATCTACTATAGATCGCTATCAGATGCTTCATGTTTGCTTGCTCGCTTACTATTTGCATTGTTTACTAGTCGATAAGCTGCCTTCGATGTTCATTACATCAACGGTGCCCGTCGTCCATGATAACACCATCATTCTCGCGGCCACGCACCCTACCCTCTCTACCGCCGACTCCATAGACGATGGTTGGTTCATCTCGGATTTCTATGCTTTCAACTATTTGCTTAGAGGACTCGGGATGCAATAAACGTGGCTGACCGCTGCGGAACCTGTCAAGCTCGTACGGCCGATTCCTACATGGAAACCCCTATGAGGAATGAAAAATATACCTAAGCCAAGAACTCCTGAACACTGGGAAATGGCACTCCTTGCGGATTACGTCGTTGCTGCATTTTCACTTCCTGTGCCCAGTAAGAAGATATGCATCCTCTGGCACTACTTTTCCTGGGAGGACACAATGCAAAAGACCGATCCCACATGGAAGCAGCGAGATGAGAGGATTACGACTGCCCTTGGCGGGTGTTTCAATCTCCCCCCTAGTGATGATCAAGGTCCGCCATTCTTCCGGCCTCAGTCTTATCTAATAGCTGCTCTCGTGGAAGCCAATAAGCCCGATGATGAGACCATGGCTATTATCTCTGCTATAGAGCAGTTCATAGAGACACTGGAGTTCCATAAGCAGCGTGCTTGCGAAGACGAACGTGTCCGCCGTCGTGGCCGGGAGTGGTTGAAGACTATTGGCAGACGAGCCCGTCAGTCGCTTCCGCCTCGTAAGAGCCTGCCAGAAAACCCCCATGGCTCAGAGACCATAGGGTAATCCAAAGGAGTGGTGGTGTTTGTCGTCTGCCTCGCCATGTGTTTCTTTTTGTTGCTTCTTGCCTCCTCACGACCGTCCCAGTATAGCGCATGGCGCGCAGCGAGGCCTTACTCCCTTTCACACAACCCCGGTTACCAGGGCGGAAATTTTATTTTCTTTCTTACTTTCCTATTTTTCCTATGTTCCCTACTCCCCATTAGTTATGTGCCGGGCCGGCTTTTCGGCGGCGGCAGATGTTACCGTAGGTACACCGCCCATGTGACCAAATCAGCGCCTAGGGCACTGCCGTATACATTATTATCTATCTTCCTCTGAGCAGCGCATGCATGTCTGAATTTGTCTAATATCTGCGATAAGCATGCTGTCACTAGTACTTGTTAGAGCATCTCCATATCCCCCAGGCGCCCCTTGACACTATGAATGCCTTTCCTGTGAATAGCTCGGCGCAATCGTCTTCCTTCACACCCGGCCAACCCACTTCCGCCCCGAAAAAGGGTAGGAAACGGCAATCTGGCACGGCATGGACTCGCTCGGGATGCATAACCTGCAAGAAGAGGCGCAAGGCCTGTGATAAGACCAAACCAAGGTGCGTGCTAGTTAGTTAGAATTTGATTTAGAGTTACGTAACTGATTTAGTCAGTTGCAATAATTGTCTCAAGCAAGGCCGGACATGCGAGGGCTACGGCTCTATATGGGTGGAGCCACTAAGTCCATCGGCGCAGGTATTCTTGCAGACGGAAACTTCAAAGCGCCGACGGCTCAGTGCGTCCTCGCCATCTCAGTTCCCTTCGCCTGCACCGTCCCCATCATCGGATGCATGGCTTGAGACTCGTTTATCCCCTGGGCCGGGGACTTCCATGAGCTGGTCCGTTCCATTTTCTCCTGGGGAGTATATCTCGTTTGAGGAAGCTACCAGTTCGATTGAAGATGCGGAAGAATACAGTCCTAGCCCGATTATAGATTTGCATAGTTCTGTCGCAGTGATCCCACAGCTTCAAGGATATATCAGTCATCTCTCAACACATGAGACTCACTTCCTCCAATATCACATGGAGCAGGGATCTCGACTGATAGCAAATCTAGAAAGCCATGATAATCCCCTTCGGTCGATGTTGATCCCCAGGGCAATGTCGTCACCTCTGCTGATGAAGGCTGTATGTGCCATCTCTGCTCTTCATCTAGCAAATCGCTCCCAAGGGCTTGGAGCACATACGGCTGCACTCAAATACTATAGTGGAACGCTCAATGGACTCCGCACAGCACTCGACAAGTGTTCAGTGGAGGTGTTCCCTGACGATGCCATGCTAGCAGTCGGTCTATTGTGCAAATATGAGATCGTGCGTGGTAGCGTTAAGCAGTGGGTTGTTCATCTCAATGCATTGCAACGTCTGATCGTTTCACGCGGTGGATTCGCTTCAATGGATCGAGATGCAGCCGAGTTCCTTCGCGGACTGTATGTGTGACACCCTGCAAGGTACATTATCGAACGCTAATATAATATATCAACCTCTAGATTCGTATATGCCTATAACATGGGCAGGATCAGCAACCGCAATTGTATCACTGCTACGGATATTTTTGTCGACAGTGATATCGGCATCCCAAAATTGGATATATACATTGGGTATACAGAGGAACTCCTCAACTTATGTGCCCGTATTGCAGAGCTGCCTTCTCTCCAAGCTGATACGTTGGCTCTTCGACTCAGTGTTGCATCCATGTTTGTCTCTCTCTCTAGTTACAGAAGAAATGGCCCAGTCGAAAATTTGCACTAACATCCCATCTCAGAAACGAATCCCTCCTCGCCTGGTCTCACACCTCAATTCCCTACATAATCCCCCAAGGAACACCAACAGCAACCTTAACTCGGCTTCAACTTGTAGCTGAATGCTTCCGTGACGCAGGATTTGTCTATCTCCACTCGATCATGGAGCGCATTAATACCCCTCCCGCTGCCAGTCTTGGTACCATTGTCAACACCCAGCTAGAGGAGGTCCCACCTCTGTCAGCACAAGACTGGATTCCTCCCATCTCCACGCCGAAAAACGTCGCCGTCTACCGCTGTCTTGGCCGTATTGAAACCTTCCCGCTGGGTGACCACTGCGAGTACTCGGCCCTCACGTTCCCTATCTTTATCTGCGGGTGTGAGAGTGATGATGTAGCGGACAGGGAGGTTGTGCTTCGTTCATTGGGCAAGCTACAGGATAACTTTGGGATTGGGAATGTGAGGCGTGCAAAGGATTTATTGGGGATATTGTGGGCGAGACAGGATGCTAATTCTGATGCTCGGTTTACTGGGATTGGTCGGCAGAGAAATGTGCATTGGTTAGATATTGTGGAGGAACTGGGGTGGGAGTTGATTCTTGCATAGATAGTCACGGCCGTTTAGATTGCACTCTTCCTGTATCTATATTTATTGAGCTAGGGATAGAGGTTTATGTTGGGATGAATGATACGAATATCTATCTGATTGTTAAGAAATATATATCAAGTATGTTTTTAATATCTATATCCAATCTTAGGAGTACATGTAGTTCAACTAAACCCTTACATGCACATGTATCCATAGCTATATGTATACACCTTGAGGGCTCCATGGTTGAGAATGTTATGCTGTGTTTATGTACCTTTTGTATAGATCGGCTATACAAAAGGTACCCGATCGTTACAGTGTGGGAACCGGGGATATCCGACCCTACCCGTAGTGGGTAACCGGGGATCAGATGACTCCCACGTGTAACGGATCCTGTTAATGATATTGTTTACTAAGCATTTCCTTTTAGAATGCTTATTGGGTTATATCAACCTGGTGAGATGCTACGATATTTAATTTTGAATTCTCTTACTCCATAAGTCAACCTGCTATATCGCTGGGGTTGACACCGGTCAAGCTCGGGCTCCGGTTGAGATAAATTATCCTCGCTTGCGAGTACCCACTATGGCCAAGAAAACGACTTACGACCCAAAAATCGCAACTGTTAAGATTTATTGTGACAGCTCGCAGGGTGATGGCGTGCTAGCCCATCAATATTGGTGGCCAAACCCCCAGCCGTTACGAGGTACTTAAGCAAACGTAAGTCTCTTCTGTGGATTCCCACTCGGAGGATATCATCGCTACTACAGTCAGGATGACCGCTCTAACAATTTCCCCAGCAGAGAGCGTCTCGCCCAAACTCGAGGAAAAAACCCCCCGTGTCAAGTCTACATCAGGCGATGGAGCACTGCAGTTACTGGAAGGCGGTTCGCCGAGCGTTCTCGATCCTGCAGCAACTGGACGACTGTTGCGTAAGATCGATATGTATATCATGCCACTGATCTGCATCGTCTACTTCCTCCAGTATCTGGACAAAATCGCCATCAGCTATGCCAGTGTCACGGGGATGCGCGAGTCAACGAACCTCAAGGGCAACCAGTTCAACTGGGTGTCGAGTATCTTCTTTTTCGGTCAGCTGGCGTTCGCCTTCCCTACAATGCGCGTGATGCAATCATTCCCCCTGGCAAAATACGTCGCCGTCAACGTGACCATCTGGGGCACCATCCTGGCCTGCATGGCCGCATGCAAGTCATTCGCCTCTCTGATGGTCTGTCGCACGCTTCTGGGCGCCGCAGAAGCCGCCATCATACCTGCCTGGGTAGTCTTCACCTCGCAGTGGTACCGGAAGGAGGAACAGGCCTTCCGCGTTGGCCTGTGGTTCTCCATGTGTGGATTTGCGCAGATGTTCGGCGGCTACGTCGCATACGGCGTAGCAACGCACATCGGTGGGGATCCAAGCGCGTCTCTGCGAGGTTGGCAGGTCATTTTCCTGATCTTGGGCCTGCTGACCGTGGTGACCGGCATCTCCTTCTTCTTCCTCCTGCCTGATTCCCCTCTAACGGCAGGCTTTTTGTCCCCGGAAGAAAAGGCAATGCACGCGGAGCGTCTTCGGGGTAACGGACAGGGCATCGGAAGCAATGTCTTCAAAAAAGCCCAGTTTTACGAAGCCCTTACCGACCCGCACACCTGGCTCTATGCCTTCTGGGTCATGGCGGCAAATGTGCCGAATTCCATTGCCACGAGTTTCGGAAATATCATGGTAACGGGCATGGGCTTCTCGAAAACGGAAAGTCTCCTGCTTGTAACACCCCTGGGTGCTTATGAGGTGGTCGTTCTGATTGGCCTGACCTATCTGGCAATGAAGACACAGCGACGACTGTTCTGGTGCATCGTAGCCCATATCGTGGGAATCGTGGGGTCGCTTTTAATGGCGACAACTAACAGGGTGCCGGCCCTTGTGGGATACTACCTCACCGGAGGCATTCCACTCGGATGGACGACGATTCTTGGGCTCACCAGTACCAATGTGGCTGGCTCAACCAAGAAGATCACCGTGTCCTGTATCCAGACGATCGCCTATACTGTCGGCAACATCATCTCGCCACAGACCTTCCAAGCCAAAGATGCCCCAGGGTATTTGCCGGCCAAGATCTCTATCTGCATCCTGTATTTCATCGTCACGCTCGACTTGTGCATTATCTGGTGGATATCGCAACGGGAGAATCACCGACGCGACAAGGAGAGGGAGGCATTGGGTGATGCTTACGTCGTTCCGGAGAACCACGAGTTTTTGGACCTAACAGACCGTGAGAACTCAGAATTCCGTTATGCGATCTGAACATGGTTTTTTGCTCTTGAGTTGGAATTTGCAACAGACCCGGACGTGGATCTTGGAGGTGCCTCTATTCCTGAATCCTGTTAATATTAGACAAGATGTACATATCTTGCATTAATTATACTAAATGAGTGGTCTTGCCCTCGTTTCACACCTTGAATCTGGGGGAATGTGAAATTTTGACCGTCCACTGCCCCTATAAGCCTTGCGATAGCCTCACCTCTACTCCGTCCTCCGTCCATTACCGTTTACGTATTGGGGCAAAAAGATATAACTTGAAAAGGCAATTCACAATTCCGCCGTTTACGCTCAAAGAACAATAAGAATATATAAGGATATATAAGGCCATGCTTTAGATAGAAAATGGCGGAATTCGAGCAAGGATGATGGCATACATGAGTGTAGAACGCACGATCAACTCAACCCCATGTTCACCTCATCGCTAAGCCCCCATTCCCTTTCGGCCCTCTCCGTCCCGCCCGCAGCTCGAGTTGACCACCGGTCGAGATGATCTTGCGAATTCGCTATCTCCTTCTCGCGCAAACTGGCGCTATCACTAGTTGTCACACTTCCTTCGCGGGCATGAGACAATTTACGGGCATTTTTGATGCTGATGGGTCGCGAGGCATTTGCACGCCCACTGTCAGCGGGCGGCCCGCTAGGGGAAGTCATTTCCTTGTCATAGGTACCGCTGAACCAGCGCCGACGTTGAGATTTGGAGGAGGTGGATGGCGCGATGCTTTGTGCGTCGGCGTTGTCGTCGTTCTTCTGTTCTTTCTCCTTTTCGAGGGCCCGCGTGAGCCCGGAGGTGGTTTCTGCGGAGGAACTCTGGGTGTCTTGAGGTGATAGGTCCGCCAATTCAGCGTCACGGTACCACTTGCGTCGACGGGTATAGCGATCCCATCCGTCTTGACCGCGGCGACCGTCATTCCACTAAGGTTCCGTTAGAAGACAATACAAAAAGATCTATAGAGAGAAAGCACCAACCTTGTTATCATAGTAGATCCATCCTTCGCCAGTTGACCCCTTCGAGTCCGATTTTCCATTGAAGTTGTCCGCTCCTTCGATGCGCCATTCACTTCCCTCCACCCAGCGCCATTTGGCATCCCCTGTTTGAACTTCTGGTAACTCGAAAGAATCTTTGGGATTCACTGCGTTCATGTGTTCGTCTGTCCAGGCATCACGTTCTGCGGGGAACAACGAGTAAGTCCACCCGATACCCAGCCAGCGGCGCTGATTCTCATAGACAACAAACGTGAACCGCACACCGGCGTTGTTTCCACGCCGCCGCGTTGAAATGTTTAAGCCTTGCTTTTCGCCTTCGGCTTGAGCTGGGGCCTTTTGTGGACTGCTCGGGGTATCGGTGACGGAGAGGCCCGTAGCTGCGGCACAGAGCCGACGCACGGCTCTAGACCGCCACAAAATGACACGCGACACCCTGGCGGGTCGGGAATGGTAGGTCAAAACAATAGTGCCGACGGTCATAACGACGCGGCGTGTGGTGAGTATGTAGAATGGAGGTAGAGTCAGACCGATCCAGACAGGGGTGACTAAGAGGATACGGATGAACAGAGCTGTCAGCGCAGGTTTTGTAGTCGCCGATGTGGGAGTACGTTGGGTGGATAGGAAGTCGGTGAGGTCGAGTAGAGGTTCGAGGAGAATATTGCATCTGGTTGTGAAGATACGGAGGGTTTCAACGATTTCATCAAGACTCTTCTGATGACGCAGTGAGCTATCTGGGGCAACTTTGGTCTTGTGCTTTTCGCCTGTTGATGCAGTTGACGACAGAGGCGAGTAACGACGTCCATACATGCCGAGGATCAACGTGACCACGACCAGGATCGGTCCTGCCCAAAGAATGATAGTATCGCCATATAGCACGATAGTCCAAAAGGTTGATACCAGCAGAAAACTCTGCCACGGGTCTCCAGAAGTCCATGTCAGGATACCAACAAATTTATTTAGAGGAAGTATGAACGGGTGCGAGTAGGCCAAGGCTCGAGTGATAGCTGGCGGTGTGGCCACTAGGAGAGGTGATTTGCGATGTACGATGACACTGGAGCGCTGGCGTGAGGTCAGAGCCGAGCCGGTAATAGTCGACGGAGAGAAGGCAGCGACCGTCGGCGGTTGAGAGTCCGACTGGCCATGATCTTGGGCGTTCGATGAGGGCGACATGGAGTCTATCCACGGAAGGTTGTCTGTTTTCTTTTTCATCAGGGGCCGTGTTTAAGTATAGGTATGATCAAATAGCATACCTAAAGCTGCCATCCAATTATGGACAGGTCATAGAGTGACAATGAGCTCATCGTCTAGGATGAGTGAGGATCATGTTCGGTCTAAGAAGATCTGCGGGGAGATCGAACTTGTGGACATGTGACTCTCGGTATACGGTGTGAAGGAGTTTGATTTCTATTTTTTGTTCTAATTTTTAATATTTTTAGAATGGATGTCTATGTAGATGATAGTAAATAAGAAATACTTCATAATTTATCTTCAATCTTGAATTAGAATGACCTCGCTAGCTATACTACCGTTCCTTATACTCATGCCCGTGCCTGGAGCTCCGGACGCTAAAACCCGCAGCCGAAATTTTCCCCTTCTCATCTTTCCTCCTTCAACCTATAACATCGCGATCGCCTCCTCTACGGCACTTTCTCAATGGTATGTTCATTGATCTCATTATTTTTCCCATTCCTGAAATTAAATCTAACAAACTACTAGGCTCACCGCATCGTCTCTCAAGTTGTCGTGACCGGAGCCCGGGTCTTCGGCCGCGCCTTCGCCGAAGCCTACAAACAAGCCCAGGCGTCCGGAAAATACGCTGGGCAGCAAAAGGCAGCCGGAAAATCCAGCACCACCTCGAGCGTGACTATCGATGAAGCCTGCAAAATCCTGAACGTCAAGCCCCCGGCGTCCGGCGAACACGACCTCGAATATGTCATGACTCGGTTCAAGAAACTGTTCGATACGAACAATCCCGAGAAAGGTGGCAGTTTCTACCTGCAAAGCAAGATTCTGCGTGCACGCGAGCGTCTGGAAATGGAGTTCCGCGAGGCTGAGCGCAAAGCCGCGCACGACAAGGAACTGAAGGAAGGATGGAACCCCAAGGTCTACAAGGATAATTGAACACAACAATAAGCGCTGTTCTCCGGTTCCCCGGGCCTCCGGCTTTTCTACGAGCACATATACACTTCCTGCGAGAGAAGCCTCCGGTCCCAACCGGCTTCTTTGTTTTCAATCTGCTCGTCTTTCGATTTTTGGCATAGCATGGCGTTTGGGTTGTTAGAGAAAGACGCCTTGATTTTCTAGATTGGGGTCTTTCTCTGTGATGTTTTACGATGGCCCCCGGATTTCCTCGGGCGTCATCTCCGGTCGGGTATGGAATTGTTCATATCCGACCTTCTCATCGACCTTTCGGTCTATGTATATCATTTGTGATGCGCCGCGTTCCGTTGACCTTTTCTCCACTCTCACTCGGAAAGGATTCATGTACAATAGCTATATACTTGCATTAACTTGTGTGTAATGTCCGATCTAGACTTGTTTATTCATATATATGCATCGTATTTGTCGGGATCTATATTGACTTTTTTGTCCCTTTTTGCCACCGCCGCGTTACCAGAAACATCTTCACGTTGTCACTGCCTACTTCTATCAAGGGGACATTCAATCCACGCAATCGAAACCTTCGAAAGAGAAGATGTAACACAAAGCCGATCGATCGGATCGTGGCCACATGTCCCGATTCGGGGAGAATCCCCCGCCATTGCGCCATCCGAAGCGGAGCCGACGGGGAGTTCCTTTTTTTTTGGAGAAAATATAGGCGATACACTTACCATTTGAAAAGACTCTCACCAGTTAACCAATCTTCAATACCCAAACCTCCATAGCCAGCCCCTTAGCATTGACGAAATTGGCCTCCCAACCCACACCATGCGCCCCTCCACCCCACTGTCCGCGGCGCTGCCACCGCTGATAATGGGCACCGCAACTTTCAACTCCCAATATAACGCCGACCCTTACGCGCTTCCAACAACAGAGCTCGTCCAGCGCGCATTATCGCGCGGTGTGCGCGCCTTCGACACATCCCCCTATTACGGCCCCGCAGAAGAACTCCTCGGCCGCGCCCTCGCAACAGAAACCGTGCAAACCAACTTCCCACGGGAGACATACCACCTCCTCACAAAAGTCGGGCGCATAGCCGGCTCCTCATTCGACTACTCGCCTCAATGGATCAGACACAGCGTGCGACGCAGCCTACAACGCCTACACACAGACTACCTGGACGTAGTATACTGCCACGACGTGGAGTTCGTGACGGCTGCGGAAGTTGTCGTGGCGGTGCAGGAGCTGCGCCGTCTCCGCGATGAAGAAGGGGTAATACACTACGTCGGTATCTCTGGCTACCCGGTCGACACGCTCAGCGATCTGGCAGAGACGATTCTCCGTGAAACGGGCGAGCCGCTCGATATCGTTATGTCGTACGCCAACTTCACTCTGCAGAATACGCGGCTGCACTCGCATGCCCTACCCAGGCTACTCGCTGCTGGCGTTGATGTCGTTCCGAACGCATCGCCGCTGGGGATGGGATTGCTTCGTCGTGACGGTGTGCCTATTGGCTCAATGGGCGATTTCCATCCCGCCCCTGAAGCCCTGCGGAAGGCTATCCGTAGTGCCGCGGATTGTGCTACGCGCCACGGAGAGAAGCTTGAAGTTGTTGCGATTCGGTTTGCGCTGGAGGCGTGGCTGCGTGTTGGTGCGCGGGCTGGCGGTCTCGGTGCGCCGCTTGCTCGGGCTGCGGACGCTGATCCCGGGTTCTTGTCTGTAGCTAATTTAGGCACGGGGAGAAGGCTGGGCGTCAGTGTTATGGGCGTTAGTAATATTGCTGAGCTGGAGGAGACATTGCGCGTGTGGCACAGTATCGTCGATGGGCTCGAGAATTTGAATGAGGATGACGACGCCTCGTATTTCGATGCTAAGTTGAAATCGCCTGGACCGTTTACTCCTAGCTTGGAGGTCCCGGCGGGTGATGTTCCCACGGCGTCGAGTATACTCACGCCCCAGCAGGACCTTATCACGGACCGTGCTTGGTCTCATACGCGTGGAGTTCATATCTTGCAGCTGGCACGAGAAATTCAAGATATCTTAGGTACAGAGTGGGTTGATTATGTCTGGGCCAGTCCATCGCCAGACTTTGTGAATTCGTTATCCGAAGAGCATATTGCTGCTGTGCAGAGGATCGAGGCCGAGGAGAGAAGTGGACGGAAGCCATCTCTCTCTATATCCGATACCGCTATTGAGGCGGATCCTATGCTGACACCACCGTCAGACGTGGAAAAGCAGCTTGCATAGGATCAGAGACAGAACCCGATGAATGCAATGCATCGAGATACAGCCATTACGGCGTCTCCCAATGTTTCCTCGTAACTCCAATATGTAATTCCATAGTTCTAGGTAAAGACGACAAGTTGCAGGCACGAAGGAACTCGGCAACACGTGGGATGGGCCCACCTTCCGATTGCAAAAAGGCAAGTTCGACCTGCGCTCCTGCGCTCCCAAGCCCGGTAGCTCCTGATGCTCTATTCCTCTCCAAGAAGTCGCATCTAGCGCTTTCTGGGTGAGAAGGAAGGCATGGGAAGGAGAGGGCAAAGGGAAAAGCAAGAAAGATAAACGCCGACAAACATAGATCCACGTTGGGCGCGAATCCATAATCATCGGGGGGGGTTTCATTGAAATCACTAACAGCATCCCATGTAGGGACCGAAGAACTGCAAGAACTAGTTACTCGTCGAGGGAAACCCGAGAGAACATTAGACGTTTGGGGCGCCGGATCGACTCGAATAGATGATGAAACAAGGGCATCCAGGGTTTGAGATTGTCAAGGCTTATCCATATTCAAACTAGTTCTCAATCAAATAAGATCGAAAACTGAATTCAACATCAAGACAGCTCTAATCAATTGCAACCGAGGGACAAGTCAACAGAATCTGGCGAGGTCGAAGTGCGGGAGAGAATCCTAAATAGTAAGTACTTTTTTCGTCTCAGGCCCAAAGAAGAATGCTCATTCTCAATTTCCACGGTCATTGGCTGCGCTTTTTGCCAACGAGAAGAATAAGCATACAGGTTTGCCAAAGCACACACAAACATATCACCGTCCCCACCATACCGCCACTGACATCCCTCCTCTCTTCCCCGTGCAAATCACCAAACCATTCGAAGTAAGGGGTATCATCATACAAAATAAAGCATACAAACAGAAACCAAAAGAAAGTCGTTGCGGGCGTGGAAGTGGAGACTCAAATTTATGCCGAGACGAGAAGTTTCTGCTCTCTGCGATCCAAGTCCGCATTCATCTGCTCATCGGTCTCGTAGCCTGCATGGCGGCGAGCTTGGCGGAGGCTGAGGGTATTGGGAAGTTTCTTGAGGTCGGGCCTCAGGCGTTTGAGTCTGGCCGCACGCTCCTGACACAACTGACGTCTTGTCTCACCCTTCCGAGCTTTGGCAGACTTTGCTTCGGGCCCGGGTGCGTCATCCGAAGAAATATCTTCTGGCTCCGATTTTGTGCCCTTCAACTTTGCCTTGAGCCTTTTAGCAGGTTTGCGAGCTTGGGGCGCCGGCAAAGAAGAGGGGGCTCCGTCGGTAGGAGGGGGAGGAGGGGATGCTCCATTAGCAGGAGGGGATCCCGGCGGCGGAGGCGGAGGCGAAGACTTCCTGTATCGAGCAAACCTATCCTCTGCCATGAACACCTGACGGAGTTGGAAGCGTTGCTCGACATATTCATCAAAGTTCGCCGCAATGATGGGTTCAAGAATGCTCTTGTTCGATCCTTGGACAAGTGCTAGATATTCCATGCGATTCTTCAGGGCAGTATGGGCATTAGAAAATGCTCGCAAGATCAACCCAATTTCCTTCGTGCCACCTGAGATGTCGTTATCTCGGTTGTTGGGGTCTTCGATTGTGAGACGATCGGGGTGGCCGAAGTATTGCTGTTTGACATTATCAGCTGGCTAGTCAACAGTAATGCGAACCAAAATCCACTTACCTTGGTGAAATAGCCTGGAGGGTCCATCCGGACTGCTATCGTGGTATAAGAGAATTGCTTCCCGTAGAAATTCAAGAAATCAAGCAAGATGGTTCCTAGGTTAGGCTGCATATGGCCCTGGGGCAGATGCTGGAGAATATTCGTCACCAAGCAAGTGATAGCGAAACCTCCTATTCCACCGGTCGGGACTTCATTGAGGCCGCGGATCAACAAGAACTGCTTAATCACGGCCAGGAGAACTGGCATCATAGGATATTGGGTTTTCCATTTCTGGAATGTCTCGTTGGCAATCAAGCCACTGTCATTGTCGAAAGACAAATCCACTCGTAATCCGGTCAGCTTGTCCACGTACTTGAGAATCGGTACCCGGGCGGACGCAATGCATTCGATCGAGTTAGGAACGGCCAGATTTGTACTCTTGAGGAAAGCCGAAAACGCGTAAATTTGACCCTTCCTCTCCCCGAATGTGCGAACCCCCGTGCGTAAGAACGTGTGAGAAAGCAGCACCAGATCGATATCAGCCGTGGGGAGATAGAGACCCGAGGCAAAAGAGCCAAAGGCCCGGATTGAAACGTTGTGGTATCGTTGTTGGAATGCAGTCTCCAATCGATTGACAAGATCTGCACGGACGATGTGTTCGAATTCCTGTGGCTTGGCCCAGTGATAGAAGCTGAGAATCTCATTATGCAGCCTAGCTTAGATGTTAGAGAGAAAAGAGAAAGAGCGCAAAGGGTAGTACTGACTGGGTTCCCACGTGCAAGGATGCTGGGGTGCCCTCGAACCAAGGCGTGCCTGTCTCTTGGGAAAGTGGTTTCCATTGATCAATAACGGAACCATCGTAGTTGAACCTGCTGGCAGGCTTTCCAGTCTTTCGGGAAAATCCTTTGAGCTCATCGTCACGGGTTCGCTTCCGACTCGTAATGGCGGGATCTAGACCTTCCTGAGCCTTTGGCCCTCTGGGGGCGTTTTCAGGAGCGTTGCTCTGAGAAACTTCTGGTTCGAAATCCATGCCGAGAGAAATGAAGTCTGAGTTCTGCTTGACTGCATCCGTCTCGTCCGTCTTTGCGACAACTTCAAGTCTCGCCTTGCGAATCAGCTTGACAACATCCACCCTCTTGTTTGTAGTTTCGGCCGGAGGAGGTAGCACAGTGTAGGGATCGGGGTTCGACCATTTGGGGGCAGCAGGTGCCGGAACGGTATCTTGGGACCCATCGACACCTAGCGCACGTCTCTTGCGTGGTCGCTCGGCATCGTCATCAGACATGTCCATTTCTGCCTCTTCGCTGTCGCTCAAAGTAGAAAGTTCGGCAAATTTGAGTTCAGGCTTATTCTCGCCCTCAAGCCGTTCCGGTGTGCTTTCCCTCTTCGAAGACAACAATGGTCGGTCCGACGTGGCGGGCTTCTGGTACCGGAAAGTGAACTCATGTCGTGGATTAGGACGCGAGCCACGATAATTAGAATTTCCTTTAAACTGGAATGGAGCAACTGAAGGCATTGGCATTTTGAACAGCTGCAGTTAAGCAGCAAAAATGCAGACGCGTGGAGGAAAGAGAATCAGGTGTTTCGAGTTTCGACGCGCGAAAAAAGATATCCGAAAAAGTCAGGCAGAGGGAAGGCGGTGACGGAGTTGGTCGCACCTTCCACGTGTACAGACAAGGAAACAGGCCAACAGGACATAATTGCCCGACCGCATGTATCACCGCCTTCTCGAAGCATACCTATAACCTCCCTTCTTTGTGACTACCTAGGTGAAGACGGTTGCTTAGATGGCATTCATAGGTTATTGTCCAGCTATTGACTCTACTTCTGCTTTGAATGTATCGCGAGGCCCTCCTCTAGAATATGAATCAAATCATGTTGCACTGCTATCTCAGCAAAGCTTATACGATTTGTTACCCATTCTAACCAGTCCTCAGCTCTAGCACCATGTGCCTGAAGCAAGCCCACACTCACATCAATTAGCAGTGGTCGTTCATCACAATGCCAAAAGGCAGTAGCCCCACAGCGGCTGCAGAATTCCCTGTATACCCCAGGTGAACTTCCATGCCGCTGCATGGTCCCTACATTGAACATAAGTGGTGAACCGTCTGCATTAAAGATGTTGGATTTGGGAACAAATGCCCAGGTCTGGATGGGAAATCCACTGCTCAGTCGACAACTGATGCAGACACAGGTTCCTGCAAGATATTTTGTACCACCACTTCGCAACCACCATTTGATATCGCCAGGATTTGCCCCAGACCCGGTGTAGTATGGAACCAGGAGATCTGGCCATGGCGACGAGGCTTGTAAGGAGGATGCATCGGGCTTGGTGATATAATACTCAACCCCTCCACAGAGGCAACGTGCCCGCAAATGCTGGCTGGTTGATATATATTCTGCTGGGTTTGTGGATTCTCGGCTAGGGCTTTCGATATTTGTTGAAGTATGTAATTTGCAACCTGTGACAGTAGACTCCGTTCCAGGAAGCAGTGCGCTGAGTCCACCGTCACCAGTATCGCTGCTTTGCCAGTGCTCAACCGCTCGGACCAATGGAATGTTCTTTGCCAACAAACCTGAGGCAACTAGAAACTGTCCCCCAGCGTGCATACGAGCGAAGACGTGGGCACCGCATGTCTTACAGAAAAAGCGGCTCACGTGGTCGGACTGTTGGTATTCCTGGAGGCCATCTAGATTGGGTGGTTCATGCTGGAGGAGATAATACGATGAAGATAACTGCCCAGTCACCAGCCGACAGCGGTTGCAATGGCATAATTGGAGTTTAGAATTGTCGGTGACAGAGTCCAACTGGATAGATAAAGATACGCTTCCGCAGATGCAAGCGATAGGAGTAGTAGTCATGGTTTGAGGGAATAATCTGATCACAAACTCTCTCGAAAGCAATGCGTTGGCTATGTGCGTAAGCGGGGACAGAAATATGCCCTCAAGTGTAACGTGGATCGAGATGCGAATGAGAATTCACTCAAGTGTCTGACCCTCAGACTCGACGTATCCCGGAAAGTCACGAGTATATAAGGTCCCGGCCCCATCCTTCTTCCCTTCTCTTCCCCACCTCGCCTTTACAACCAACACAACTCCAAAAGCTTCACCAGTTTTTACCACCCCAAACATACAAAATGAGTAAGCACTTTCATATTCCATGCTATATGTCATTTCACAAATCCGTGAAGAACCGCGCTTTGCCTTGGCCTGATCTCCGAAATGGTGGGGTCATAGCGGGGTTGTCACTCATCGTACTTCACACAAATTTTTTTTCTCCAATGCTGACCACTATGATAGGCGACCACGGATGCAGCTGCGGCTCCTCTTGCCAGTGCCCTGCCGGCGCCTGCAACTGCCCTGTACGTGATATGCCCTCATTCCTCCTTCCATGACGTCTAGCTGATCCGACCCCCGTTCAGAAGAAATAAATCACCCATATGGGCATGATGGTTCGAACCTTTCAAGGAATATGAGGACGGAAGTCGAAATGAGACGGAGGATTCTTGGGTTGGGTAGCTCCCGGTTGTGTTCCTCAGGGATGCGTGTCATGGCATAACTCCATAGTGAATGACATGCGGCTGCTCGACCACTTTTATTCTTTGTAAATCAAGGACCTTGTGGGCATCAGATCCTAAACTTGGGTCATTTAGATCAACCTTGGGAGCTAAACGGCCTGTCCGACATACCTAGATACCCGAACAGCCTCCTAAGTGGAGAAAACTAAGGACAGCTACCGTATTTTGACGACATACATAGCCTCTGAGGAATATCTCAGTACATAACTCAGATCAAATCATCCATATCGATAAAGAAATATAGCCTGGGAGGAGGACACATACCCTTACGGAGGAAGGAGCTGTACGAGCCACGGGAATCTTGTTTGATACGAACCCTGACATAATATCAGGCATTATTTCCAAACCAACCGCATAGTCCACCGAGGGATCATCCTATCGCCTTGATCATCCCATCGTCTCAGTGCCCCGAAACGGAAATACCTTTCACAGCCTTTCAAGAACGGCTTCTGCGGCATTTTCACCCATCTCCAACATCAAACCTTTCTACAACAAAGACCCCAACACCTGGTACCCCGCAGAGCTGATTGCAAGAAGAGATTAAAAGCGGGACTCGATGCTGCACGAGTCCCAGAAGAGCAGTATCGAATCGGAGCCTATCATAATCATGCATGATGCACCTCGAAGGGGTCTGTGATATCTTCCAATATGCAGCCTCTCCACTCTATCGGTGTCTGGCTGGTTTGCTCCTGGCTCTCAGTCAGATCCCAATGAGTCTGTCCCCGCAGGAGGCCCAAACGCGCAATGTCGGCGTTTTGATGTCACGTACGGACTACATTGTACAGACTGAGATGCCTCTCAACGACCTTGTCTCTTGGTATACACGGTTTCTCTTCTTTGCATAGTACAACTATGTACGATATATATGGATATGATCTAATGTCGGTCTCAACCTGATCTCGGGAGCTAACAGCTAATCCAACCCCAACAATGCAGGTGCAGCTCCTAGGGCGTCTTGCCGCCCATACACCTCTAGTACACAAATACCCCGAAAGAAATCAATAAAAACAAAGCCAGAACACCCTGGCATGCTCCACTGTGTGGATATGGACATATCTCAGGTAATCCAGGGCTGCCAATGAGGCCAGGTAGCACCCCTCCTCCAAGGTCCCCAATCCGAGCAAACTTCGCCTCATAGGCTGCCACGACAATAGCCCAGCCTGAAACCGCTGTAGGCGCCGGAAATTACACACTCGGCCTTTACTTGCTGGGTATTCTCCGTCTTTCCTTTGAATACGACGTTTATCCTAATTCGTTCTAGTACTTACGCTCCACATCATGGTACGCATGTTGTACATAGTTACGACTGTACTCATGAGGTAATAAGAGGCCCGTCCCGAAACCAGTGGACCGAGGCATGCAGATCTACGTCGTGCCAGAAACGTGGCCGTCATTGTGGCATGATAGTAGAAGGGTTGAATTTTAATATCGCACTAATAGGGAGTGTTTTGTGCTGTCACATTATCCCATATATATTCATCTCACTATATTGTCTTAGAAACATATTCCTACACATAGCATATAACAGATGATCAATGAAACACATATCCAAGTCCAATAGTGACATTCAAAGGAAACAACTTACACATGTATAGGCAACGATGTCCGTATCTGGAAGTGTAAGCAACGTAAACAATGCAGGCCATTGCTCCACAAAACGAACCCCTGCAAGATTCTTAGTCTTCAGCCTAAGCCAATGGATCAGCCATATTCTTCGCAGGAACCCGGCCCGAGCACAACGCAATCTGAGCTACTCCGTACATAGCCTGATTAACCCGGTCATGTTGTACCCATTATACTATCGAGAAAACACCGAGAAAGATAACACTTAGACTTCGCAAGAAAACAGATCGGATACTAATCTTCTCACCGGCTTTTGCGCCATATTCGCCCGAGGGCGGGCGGACTGTAAAAGTTTACATCATAGCTAGAACCTGATAGGCTTGGCGAGCGGTTGAGCATCTGGCCAGAGTATTCTTTTTACAGCGCATAGCGCGTGAGGATAGCTTGAAGGACATGATAGGCAGGCGGATTGAGTGGGATGCAGGGCTGGGCTCATTTGACTCGACCACGCGATACTATGGAGTGTGAACGGGCCGCGGCGACATTACGGCGTCTTAGATTGGAGGGAGCATGATGGATGAAGAAATAGAATTATGCGCTCTATTATTGATCGGGATAATGTACTCCGTAGCAGTCGTGAATCTATAAAGCTGGGCTCATACCCGTCCCCTGTTAGACTTTTCTTTCTCTATCCAAGCCATCTACATCCAAACCAAACACTACTCTTAAGCTTCTTTTTCAAGGTTCTTTACCTACCAACTCTATCTTCATCATGTCTCCTTGCACCTGCAACTGCTGCTCCGGCGAGTGCACTTCTTGCTCCTGCTCTAGCTGCAAGGTATGTACCTGCGTGCTCACTCCCTGTCTTATAACCGTCACTCATAGTGGGATACGGCCCTGGGGCAAAAGATATACTAACTACCCTCCTAGCACTAAGCCAACCCACCGGCCTTCATCACCGCCATCTTCCTCCCATACAACCCACACCAGACCCGGGCTACCACTGCTGTCAAACTAGCTCATTGTTTCGTCGAGTTATGAGATAACTCCATTGTGATCGTTCATGACCGAGATGATTGTATGCTAGGATCTGGGGATAATAGGGCCTGGAGCCTTGTGGATGGGGTGTTAAGTTTATAGGTTCAGATTTGACCTCGTGTGTGTTCTTGTGATTTAATTTTCAGTCAACTATGAAGGTGTTATATTGTGTGATTCATGATCTTTAGTAGTATCTCTATGTTCCAGTAAACGTGATTCGATTATGCTCATCGTCCAGGGCTACGCAGGCACCTTCACATACGTCGATTGTATCGAACCCAAACATGTTCACTTCAACACCAAGAAACAAGAATACCTGGGTAAAAAGCGCTCGAATTGCAATTCATTCCAATTAATGAGATGCACGTGAAATAAACATTCAATACATATGTAACACCAGATCTCTAGATCTATAGCTGTCACAGCTCGTCTTTCGAGCGAGGCGCAACGTTACCTGCTTCCTCACCACTTGCACATGCAGCCGGCGAGGTAACAATCATAGCATACACGCACTTCTCCTCTTCCGCTGTCTTCAAGATCTTGTTCTCTTCACCGCACTCCAAAATGACCTTGGTCGACCGGTTAGGTCCATTCCAACAAGACTGGCCGTTATTGTATTGAATCGTCATCTTCTCGACGTTGACAACCTCGCCAGCCGCGTTGACCTCTTCTACGGTCGTAGTTCCAACATTCGAGAATTTGCCCATCGACACAGAATTGCTTCCCTTTCTCTGGTTCTGCTTGGTTGACTCAAGGAAGCAATGCTCGTACGTGTACTCACCCGCATCCTGGGTGATACATACACCCTTGAGCGCGCGGAAGATGGAGTTAGGGCCATAGTCCTGCTCAAGGTCGGCACGGTGGTCGCGGAGTTTGTTCTTGATGCTTGTAACAGTATCTTGCGCGGCCTTAAGGGCATCGCGTGCCTGGGTCACGGCCTTGGATTCCGAGGAAGAGTCTTTATCGGCCTTGGGCAGAATGCCCTTTTCTTCAAGGTAGCTCTTGACAGAAACGGCCCTGTCCTCAATGAAGCTGACAAGCGAGGGTGGGAGATAAGCAGCGAGCTTGTACACTATAGTTCCTGTTGGTAAGCTATACTAGGTGTCACAAGAAACCACGGAATATCGTACCTAGATCCGAGTCGTTGCATCCATCCTCCTCGTTTTCCCAGTGCTCCCAGTTAATACCATGTTCTTCACCGTCGGCCTTGGCAATCTCGTCTAAGTCACGGTCGACGGCAGCGTTCACACCCTCGGTGCCTTGCTCACGAGCAGCGTAGTCCTCATAGCTACGGACCGCACGTTTGACACCCTCGTCATTGAAATTGGGGTTATATTCCACCTTGACCTTAGCCAGAATATCCTCAAGCTCCTTCACCCGCTCGCGGACCTCATCCCGCTGCCGACGCACATCAACCAACGCATTGCGTAGCTCGTCAACACGGCCCTTGGCCAAGTTGGCGAGGGCATTGACCTTGCCTTTACCTTTGCCATTTCCAGTACGAACCACCTTGCGGTCCTGCTCCTGGGCGAGCTTCAGATCAGCCTCGAGGTTCTGTTCCTTGAGCTCAGCGCCCTGAACCTCGGCCTCGAGAGCAGCGATATGGTCCTCGAGCTCCTGCTGCTGGCGACCAGCATCGACAAGGAGGTCCTTCTTCTTCCTTAGGGCAGCATTCATCGACTTTTGGTTCTGTTCCTCTTGCTTCCGCCATTGCTTGCCAATCTCCTTGCATCGGTCTTCACACTTCGTGCCTCCAACGCGAGCCCACTCATCGCTACCATCACAGCACTCCTCATAATCACAGATACCATCGTTGATACGCTGGAATGGAAGGTATGATGGCCGGTGGCCCTTGTTTTTGCAGTAGAATCCCGGAAGAGCGAGTACGGTGTCCAAATCGCTATTCCCAGGCCGGTCGGCCACCGTTAGTGGCGAATTGCGCGAAATATGTGCGCAGGCGGATGTGCCAGGCTCGTCGCTTCCGTCGGGGCAGTCACAGTAGTCATCGTTGACGGCCGAGAAGGGTATTTTGACCGAGGGATTCGAGATACAGGTGAATGTCGTTGAGTCCTGGTAGAATTTGGCAACTAAGGAAACTAAATTAGTATAAGCTCTAATAGAAAGAGAATCAATTGCCTATCATAGATCACTGCTACATGAACCTGCCACAGAAACAATAATGCAAATAATGGAGATCTAGAAAGCCAGGGTTCAGATACTCACATTCTGGGCCCAAGCCACGGGGACGGGCAGGCTTGTCACTACTAGCCTGGACCGCCGACCCAGCGGCAGCCAGCAAGAATAACGACTGAGGAAGTCTCATGCTTGAGGCATTGAGCTTTGTTTGTCGAGTTGCGGAGAGAGCTTCTGGCCAGCTGTTGATAGCGGGCCCTGGATCTAATCGCTGCTGAGTCAGCGCGCTATCTTCCCAACTTTATCGTGGCGAAGTTGGGGGCATTTTACAACCGCATCGCAAACATGGGTAATGATGGTGGCAGGTGAGTGGCTCTATTATAAATGTGCCATAGACTCAAAAATACTAACACAAAACTTTCTAGTATTCCGACTCGCCGAGAGCTCGTCCGCGAAGCAGCCCGTGCCCCGAGCACGGCGCAAGTAAAAGAGACCCAGCGCGAGCAGCAAGAACACTCCTGGACTACTTGCCCGCTCTCACACAAGTCCCTCTCTCGGCCAATTGTATCAGACTCAGTCGGAAATCTTTATAACAAGGACGCCATTCTCCAGTTCCTGCTCCCCGGCGACGATGTCGAGGGCATCAGCTCTAAGGCAGACTGCGAAGAGATTCTATGCGGGCGAGTGAAGTCGCTCCGGGATGTGGTTGAGATGAAGTTCGAAATCGACACTGAGCTCCCCGAGCACCCCTCAGGCCGTGCTTATGCGCCCCGTGAGCGTCGCGAGGGCTGGATCTGCCCGGTCACCGCCAAGCCGTTGGGCCCGAGTGTGAAGTCTGTGTACCTGGTGCCGTGTGGACATGTATTTGCAGAGGAGGCTATCCGACAGCTCAAAGGCGACAAGTGCTTACAGGTAAGAATCACGCCTTGATACAAAGCGGAAATAGTGGCTGACGTGTGTGTGCTAGTGCAACGAACCTTACACCGAAGACAACATCATTAACATCCTTACCACCAAAAAAGAAGACAAGGAACGTCTGATTGCGCGAGGCCATAAACTTGCTGAACAAGGCCTAACGCATTCCCTCAAAAAAGCCCCCGGCTCAAAGAAGCGCAAGAAGAACGCCTCCGCAGAGGGAGTAACTGATGCTCCCGGCACTATAGAGCCTGCTGGATTGGTAGTACCTAAGCAATCCTCGGATCCTAAAAGTCGAAGCAACACTTCCACACCAGTGCCTAATACTGCTTCTAGCAATGGAATCAAGAACGCTGCTACTTCTTCGCTCACTGCCCGTGTGTTGGCGGAGGAAAATGAGAAGAAGAAGCGCCGGAAGATGATGGGTGGGAATGAGAATCTCGACAGTCTCTTCACAAAGAAGGACGGCGGGTCCAAAAATCGTGATTTCATGACAAGAGGATTTTCTATATCATGACCTGATTTGGCTCTACCTTCCTGCTGCGCAGAGGTAGACGTGAGGCCTGAATGAAGTGCCTTTACTTTTCAATGTGAGATAAGTCATGGGTGAGATAAGTCATGGAAGGAGTTTTATTTCCGGAGTTCAAGGGCTTTTGATGTTCTTCGATGATTGATGGGGGCCACTGCGTTGTATGCTGGACGGGTCGACGAGTAGATATACCGTACATACCAGAACCAACGTGTACAATTATATGAACTCACAAAGGACAAAAATGCAATTCAATCAACAATTCTAATGTACAAAAGATTGCTCTCAGATAAAGGAAAAAGTATGCCTCCAACATTCTACAAAACACAAGGAGAGGCTTACGCATTCGCCTCAGTCTTCTTAGCTTGCTTCCAATGGGCCGGTTGTTTCTGGCCCAGGCTCTTGGTGATCAAACCATTCTTGTAGAGCGTAGAGACAATAAGCTTCTTGCGGCCAAGATCTTCATCGTGGTCATGACGGGTCTGGCGGACATCGAGAATCTTGACGTTAGGCAATTGAGCGGCACCGTTCTTGTCCATAAGTTGATGGAGAAGCACCGGTGTCAATCTGGTAGTCTTTTTGTGAAGTGCCTCCTGTGCGCGGAAGACATCACTCGTGGTGGCGGAAGAGGTGATGATGTGGTCAGGAATATGCTGAGACATCAATTTGGAGAGACGGGCGAAGAACTGAGATGTGGTTGTCAGTAATGTTGGTTACGAGAATGTCGAAGGGGGAATACGTACAACAAACTTGACGTTTCCATCAGCCAGTGACAGGGAACTGATGCTGTTCTGCATCTGACCCTCGGACTCTGCGTCATACAGGCGATTTCCCTTCTCGCCAGCTATCTTTTTCAATTTCCGGTGAGCGATCTTGGCGTCTTTGCCTTTCAAACTCCCTGCTACATGGCGTAGAAGGATATTCATTGTTTTGACATCGGGGAAGCGGAGACGGTCGCCCCAGTTACCAGACTGGCCTTCGATCTTAACCGACTCGAGCTGTGCTTCGGTCTTAAGGTTGCTAACAACGGGGACTTCCTGCCCCAACATTTGCATCAAACCAATCTCCACGGCGGCTTGATGCGCAGCCTTCATGTACGGTAAAGGTCGTGGATTGTGGTACCATCTGTTCGATCAATCAAGAAGGACATTGTCAGCAATCCATTGAGAAATCAAAACCAGGATGTAGAGGCATCAAATTGATGACTTAGATCAAACATACGGTTTGACCTTATCGGCTGGCCCCTTTGAACCCTGAAGACGCCATTCTTTCTCCGGTAGATAACCAATCCTGGGCATTCCCTCCCAGGTCAGGTTGTCATCAATTTCTTCAGACAGTGCTTCACCCTGTTCGAGACTGAATGCTTCCTCTGCTACCGACTCTCCGGAAGCCAGACCGGTTCCTGGCATGATCTGACTTCCAGTGTAGGGGTCTGCTGGGCCTGGGGGCTTGTCGGTGCCCCAAATCTTGCGCCGAGCGCGTTCGAGGAGTCCGGGGGAGTCGGAGGCATATTGGCGGACTTGACCGAGCGGCGAGATACGGGGGGTGGTCTGAATTCTGCAGCTGGAACAGACAAAGTTTGCCTCCCGCAGAGGGAGGCGCATTGAGGGCCGCATTGTCGAAGTGGGCGCGAATGTTCTTTATGAGCGTCGAGCTGGCGGAGTTGGCCCGGACGGAGAAACAAATTCAAGAAAGGCACGGGTCACGTGTTGGTTATATTGATGCTTGGCATTTTTTCCTCGCTAGGTTTGATATTGCAAATCATCATTTTACGCGCATCAAATTGCATATAGTGATTTAGTCTGTCTCTTTTTATTTCTTTTAAAAAAGGCCACGTTTGATGTTAAATGAGAAATATTCTTCAATGTATTCATTCATAGTATGCAAACTGTATATACACATGCACCGCTGGTATCATACTACTAAGGGAAAGATATAAAAGAACATTTTGTGCAAAGCATGTAAAACAATTACTCACGGACAAACATGCCCGCCATACCCATACCTGTACCAATGCACATGCTAATTACACCGATCTCCTGGCCACTGCGCTCCAACTCAGGGAGCAAAGTAGCCAATTGGCGAGCACCAGTAGCACCGAGGGGGTGACCGATAGCAATAGCACCACCATTAGGGTTAACCTTAGCCTGGTCGATACCAAGCTTGCGAATGCTGTAGAGAGCCTGCGAGGCAAAAGCCTCATTAATCTCCCAAACACCAACCTCGGGAACCTCAATACCAACAGCCTGCAGTAGTTTAGGGATGGCAACAGCAGGGCCAACGCCCATTTCATCGGGGGCACAGCCCGCGACCGCAGACGCGACCCAGCGCGCCTTAATGGCACCAGACAAACCCAGCTCCTCGGCGGTAGAGCGTCGCATCAACAAAGCAGCGGCAGCGCCGTCGCTGACCTGCGAACTGTTACCGGCGGTGCTGGCGCCGGTAGGCGAGAAAGCGGGCTTGAGCGAGCCCACCTTCTCGAGGGACAGGCCGTGGCGGATACCGTCATCCTTGGAGACGGTCACATCCTTGGCGGGGGCATCGGGGTTCTCGGGGTCCAGGGTTCTGGTAGTGACGGGGACGATCTCGGAGTCGAAGCGGCCTGCCTTCTGCGCGGCGGAGGCCTTTGCGTGGGACTCCACGGCGAAGGCATCCTGGTCTGCGCGGGAGATGCCGTAGCGGGACGCGACGTTCTCCGAGGTAAGGCCCATGGGCATGATGCAGTCGCGGGAGTCTTGGGAGTGGGACTCCTTCAGCTCGGGCCAGAGGACTGTGGGGATGGCGCGGGAGCCGTAGTTGCGGGTCATGGATTCCATGCCGCCGCCGACGCCGATGTTGATGGCGCCGGCGCGAATGTTGTTAGCAATGGTTGTGATCGCTGCTAGGCCGGATGAGCACTGGCGGTTGATCGTGTGGAAGGGCACGGAGTGAGGGAAGCCGGCGTGAATCTGACCCATGCGGCCGGCTTTGGCGCCGCCTAATTCTTGCAGGACGGAGCCGATGAGCACATCGTCGACCTGGGCGGGATCTAGGTTCGGGTTTGCCTTCAGCGTTGCCTGCAGCACGCTGGCTAGTAGCTCTTCTGGGTAGGCATCCTTGAAACCACCCTTCTTGGCGCGGGTGACGGGTGTGCGCAGCGAGGAGAGAATGACAATGTCATTGGGGGACTTCTGGAGTACTTGGCGAAGTCCGCGGGGAATTGGAGAAGCCATGATTTTGTAGGTTGATTGGATTGGAATTAGTTGAAAGTTGTATACCGATGGTCAAGGTATTTCCGATCTGTCTCGGCGCCGTCAGTTTCGACTTGGATGTCAGCTCGGACTGTTACTCACATATGTACAATGGCTAAAGTATGCAAGAAAGAGAAAAGAGAGAAACCGGCAACAACTCCATCCAAACTCCCCCGGGTATACCAATATTACTTATAGGCAAATGCCGGACAAAATTCCGGGGTCGGAAGTAGTTTGGTCGACTACCGTTGCTGAGTGGTCGCGGCACTGAAGATCGGCTAAGCGGTTTCCCGCGAAATGTGTGGAGAAAAGTTGATTCTAGTCGATATCCTAGTCTTGTACGCCGATTTCTAACAGCCTCTACACATTCTCCCCGGAGATTCTACAATACCGAATAATCCTAATGATAGACATGCACCTCGAACTGGACAGGACATCGGGAGCCCATCGGATGCTTATGTCAGCTATTTCGGTTCGGCACTTTGGAACCGGAAGCCAAGCCGAGAATCGAGACATTCCCGAATTTGATATCATAGAAGTTTGGATTAAACTAGAGATCCTGAGATAACTAATTGATATCCCTACTGAGGGACATATGAATGGATCCCCTGGCTCATCATTTGATGAAAGCCACCTTTGCCAGACAAATAGCCTCCAGGTTGTTCGCCCTGGGCACGAGCCAGAACTTAACCTGGACGACCAACTCAACCATGTTGATACCAGTTTCGATCAACTTGAACAGGTCAGCATTAGCAACCGGAGCGCCCTTGCAAGTCTTCCATCCATTGTTCTTCCACTTGGGCAACCACTCCGTCAAGCTGCGGACGAGATACTCGGAGTCCGTTTTGATAATGAAGGCATTCAGCGGCACGAGGAGCTTGCCTTTGCGCATCATGCTGTGGCGCTCCTCGATGATGCTGGTCGCATTGCGCAATGCTCGCAGGCAGGCGGTCAACTCGGCGATCTGGGTGGTGTGGCTGTGGTCGTCCTTGCCTGGAAGGGGCAAGGAGAGATTGCCGGTGTTGCCGCGGCCGTAGAACAATCCCATTGCCGAACGTTTTCCGGTCTTGTCGGTAACACAATCTCCATGAATGGCGATGATCAGGGAGTCTTCGTGGCCTTCGTACTGTTTGCAGTCCTTGCATTTGCGGGTTGAAAGGGGACATGCAAGACAGATCCACCTGCCGATGTCGCTTTCCATGTCTTGCAAGCTGAAGCGGGTGGGATACTCGTTTTCGGCATGGAAGCGACGGTCAGCAGCGAGTACCTTTCCGTCCTTCTTCTCGGGAGAGCCAGCTACGTGGTCGCCGTTTCCCTTGGTGGCTGGACCATGCGCAGTCGAGCTGTGCCCGCAGCCCACCATTCCCTGGCCATAATTATCAGTATTTAGAAGATGGGATTTGTGCCGCGAGAATAGACGAGGTAGGTTATGCCAGTGTGGTTCCGAGGTCAGGACCAGTGTTTACCTGAACATGGTAGGATTTCTCATTCTGGGGTATCTGTGACGCGCGAGGCACGCGGGCCAATTCGGTCATCTCAGATTCAACTTTCTTGGGCTTATTTTTCTTCATTCTGATGCGAAAAGGAACGGTGCTTCCAGCGTTGCCAGGCATCGCGACTGAAGATGCTTGAAGAGAGATGAAAAGTGTAGACAGTCAGAGAGTTGAAGGTGATGGAAGATGACGGGGGGAGAAGAAAAGGAAGGATAAAAATCAAGAAGGGCAGTTGAAAACAAAGGTAAACAGATGGAAAGAGAGAGAAGGACAATCACAGTCAAACCCAGCAGCGTGCGAGAAGCAAACCTGAAAGAGAGCATGGTTACCTACTTTTTGTCACCTACTTTTTGTCAACACTTTATGAGGTGTATAACAGCAAAATTATAGGATATGACCTGACTAGGCAACTACTTGTGACGATTATGAATTAAAAGCCTTCAATACATCAAAATAAGAATCAAGGTCTGTTTTTATGAATTCTATATCCCATTGAAGTAGAACAAAGAGCTGCAGATTGTCCCACTTTGAGGTTGGAGAACAATCCTGCCAGTAAACCAATCGGCGCTAGAACAAGTATTTCAAGGTAAGCCTAAGAAAGAGAAATAGCTGAGTTTAGATGTCGAAGCAGAGTATTATAGCTGCATTAAGAGTGACGTGGGTGCGACAGTTGAGTGTTGTGTTCCTGGCGGTTGAGGTATCAAAGGAGAGGTCACCTAGGCAATAATTGCAAATTGATAGAGCTACGAACGCTCAAAGCCGGTCCATAGAGGGGTCTACCTAGAACTAGAGAGATATTGGGGGAAACCATTTAAATGTACTCTGTATACAGACTGCTGTAGTAACTATAGCCCGTGTGCATGATTTTGGCTTGGAGGTTCAATATTCAATGTTGGAAAAGATTAGGTTAGGCTGTGGTCTTCAAGGCAAAATCAAATGTTTTGATATACTATATTTTCTGCTAGTTTGAGTCCAGTGGAATATGAAACTGGGGTTTGCCAGCTGGCTGTTTAATTCTTGATTTTCTCGTCATGTACTAGTGCATGGAAATCTCCTGACTGCCGCAGATATCAGAAGTACATGACATGATATGCAGGTCAGCTGGAGTGCGATGTATAACTTGTGGTCATCTCCGGTCCCGTGATTGGACGTCTCATATTCTCCAGCCAGCCAAGACAACTAGATCTCATCCCCCGTACAGAGTACAGCTTGGATACATTATACATATGTTGGAAGCCAATAGTGAGAAGAGTATGAGAAGACTAAATACTACTAAATAAGACCATCCCATAAATAGCACAGTACACATAAGTACTCAAAACCATCCCTTGACCCGTAAAATCTCTCGGCCCACTTTTGCCTCTTATTTTTTTTAGTCCCACTACTTTCCTCCTTGACACCTCGAATCTGTGAGTCATTTCTTCTGCTTTAAATTGCATTTTTGCCCTGGGGATCTTCTGTTTATAATCTCCTATATAATCTATACTAATCACCACTAGTGTTCCTTGAGCATCACAATGCCCCTCATCAAGACCACTGAAGTCAACGAGGACAGTCGTGGTATGTCAAATTGTGTCCAGAGCCAATTTGCGTGTGAGAGATACTGATGATCTTTGTGTTATTAGTCCTCGGATACGACCCATTGCTGTCACCCTACTTCTTGCAGACTGAGATCCCTGCGGTAAGCCACCAAATTTTTTTTTTCACCCCGCTATTTGCGGTGACATGGCAAAACTACAAGCGCACCAACTGACAACAATTGTCTGTATAGCCTGCTCGTGCCATCGAAACAGTCCGCGCCGGCCGGAATCAAGCAATTGAGATCATCGAGCAGCGTGATGACCGCCTGCTAGTCGTGGTCGGACCATGCTCCATCCACGACCCAGACACCGCACTTGAGTACGCCCGCCGGCTGAAGGAGCTTTCCGTAAAACTGGAGAAGGATCTCTGCGTGATCATGCGCGCCTACCTGGAAAAGCCCCGCACAACGGTCGGCTGGAAGGGTTTGATCAACGACCCCGACATCGACGAGACCTTCAACATCAACAAGGGTCTGCGCGTGTCCCGTAAGCTGTACACCGATCTGACGAGCACGGGTCTGCCCATTGCCTCAGAGATGCTAGATACCATCTCCCCACAGTATCTGGCAGATTTGATTTCGCTCGGCGCGATCGGCGCCCGCACCACCGAGTCTCAGCTGCACCGCGAGCTCGCCTCGGGCCTGTCCTTCCCCATCGGCTACAAGAACGGCACCGATGGCAACCTGACCGTTGCCGTGGATGCCATCGGCGCCGCCTCGCACCCCCACCGCTTCCTCGGTGTCACCAAGCAGGGTCTGGCTGCCATCACCAAGACCTCCGGCAACGAGCACGGCTTCGTCATCCTGCGCGGTGGAAACAGGGGCACCAACTATGACCGCGACAGCATCCGCACTGCCCGTGAGGCTCTCCGCTCCAAGAAGAAGCGCGAGGTCCTCATGGTCGACTGCTCGCACGGTAACTCCAACAAGAACCACCTCAACCAGCCCGTCGTCGCCAAGGCTGTCTCTGAACAGCTCCGTGAGGGCGAGACTGCCATCATTGGTGTCATGATCGAGTCCAACATCTACGAGGGTAACCAGAAGGTTCCCCCCGAGGGACCCGAGGGTCTCCTCCGCGGTGTCAGCATCACTGATGCTTGCATCAACTGGGAGATGACGGTTGAGGTGCTCGAGGATCTCGCCGATGGTGTTCGTGCTCGTCGTGCTGCCAAGAAAGCGCAGCAATAGAGGGATTCGGTTCTCTGTAGATCATGCCGTTCTTGTCTCTGATTTTCACAGCCCTTCTTCCGCGGAGAGGAGGGAGAACGGGTCTGGCATAGATACCTCGTTTCGGTACCTGTTGTTTCTTTATCTCGGGTTTTCAGCGGTTTCCTTTGTACCTTTTTTTTTCCTGCTTGTTCCTTGGGAAACCCCCTTGGAATTCATGTGCGAATGTGTAGCTGGTGTCAAAAAAGAACATTTTTGGGGGTTTGCGGTTCGCTGGGACTGTTGACGATTTCATAGTATGAGTGGCCAAAAGTTTAGGAATGTGATCAAGGGCTGAATCTGCTTTTTATATTTTTCTCCGGGGTGTACTACTCCGTACTTTAAGGATCTTTTATTTTTTCTGCTCCACTTGTTAGCCCGCGGCTAAGCGCTTCTCCGGTGTTGACGATGGGTCCGTCCCTATTTGGGGATTAGTGCGCAAACTTAGGTTAGAAGGGCCTATTTAGGTCGAAATCATTGCCCAGGAATGAGTCACCAGCGGGTCGTGGGGGCGCTTGTATCCTCGTGGGGGTGTATGTAGGTACTATTGAGTGGGACCTGAGGATGGAGTAGAAATGAGAGCAGATATAAGCAGATCTATGTACTGTACACGATATACATGGAAGCCCGGCCGTTCACTCCCTTCGGAGTGTCAGGAAAGACCATACTGACTAGGAACACATTCCAGAAACACAATGGAAGAAAACGCCGTAAACCCCCTGGAAGAATGGAAGCAGGTCACGATAAAAAATAAACCGCGACTTGCCATGCAAGAGAAAAGGTATCGCATATGGCGAGGAGTGAAGATCGGCGGAGGGAGAGAGATGGGTCCAGATTATGTTTGCTGGTAGATGATGAAATCAGATCAGCATTGCATCCGAGGACAGGTTATAGCATCATGCCAACCCATCCAGTCCGTCCTTCTTTCTTTTTGTTTGCTTGGAGGACCAAAGGTTGCCCAATCTATCGCCCCGTCAACCAGCTAGTCCAGCTTGATGTCTTGCTCTTCGCGGCCTGTCCCACATTCTCAGCCAGCACATCCAACTGACCGGGCAAAGGAGCGCCAGTCTTCGCCGCAGCACTATCGAGAGCTTGCTTGGCCTGCACGGCCTCCATAACACCACCTTGACTCTTGTCGGCACCCTCGATAGCCAGGGCTGACGCGGATGTTGGTGCAGGATTGGCACCGCTGTCTTCCATGTTTAGCTTCTCGAAGAGGAATCGCTTCGCCTTGGCCCAGGGCTTCTGTGCCTTCTCCTCCTCGCGCTTCTGCTTCATAATTTCACCGATCTTCTCCTTCTTCAGGAGCTCCTGCTGCTCGGTGGTTGCGGTACCGTTGGCGTAGGCGATCTCGGCATCCTTGAGGGTCTTGAGTTCCTTTTCGATCCAAAGCGTGCGTTGGCGGCGGTTATAGAGCGTAAGCGAGATCATTGAGTAGACTGTAAGAACACCGCAGACACCTAGTATAACATAGAAGGATTAGTATAAGTCCAGTAGGGGTCAACTGAAGGGTCCGTTTGCTTGTCATTGTTGACCCGGACTTCGGAGGATCGTATGTTGTGTTGCTGGTATTTTGCTCATCATATTCCACAGGGCAGGAAACGTACCGGACGCGGCAATCAATGAGTAAACCATTCCCTTGTGTGCTTTATTGGCAAACTTCCGCCCAGACTCAATCCATCGGTCCGCACTACTTCCAGCTGCCTGTGTCTTCCGAGCAGCCCGTGCCTGTGCTCGCAGTCGTTCCACCTTCTCCTTGGGTGTCTCCGGTTGGCCATTCGGGCCAAGTTGCTTTGGTGATGACTTCATGCTTGACTTCATCTTCCCAAAGTCTGAGGCCTGGTTCGCGCCGCCGGTCTTGGAGTGGGCGTAGGGCCCGGTGGCCGTGAACCGCGTTGCGTCTGCGGCGGATCGGGACATGTTGGGAGTTCCCGGTTTCGGGGGGAGAGCTGAAGATAGGGATTGAAAATCAAGTTGATATTACTGGAAATTGGACGGAGGCAATTGGAGGGCCGTGGTGGGGTGATGGATCTGGAGGCAGTTGATAAACCGGGGATTTGCAGGTTGAAGGTAAATTTTCAGCACGGGAATGCGCCAAGACATTCAAAACAGCTTCAACTGATCACTTTCATCTTCTTTCATTCCTTTCCGTCCTCTCATCTTGAGGGGATTTGTAATTTGTATGTGATCAATAAATTATAACTACCACTTATTCTTTATGCCAAAATTGACTTGTCTTTCTCAACACCCCTTCTCCATCCTTTCTCTGCATATGTATCCTACGTCAACCGTCTTTGGAACACTTTGACATCTACATCGATCTTCACTCGCCATTCTCAATCTTTATATATCAATTCAGACCCAGGGTCGATATATTGATTGGAAACTTCAGAGTAACCTATACATCCCACAATATCTTATCGAAAGGCTCTATTTCAATATGGGAGACGGCTCCTACAATGCCTCGGACCTGAACTCAGTCCTCAGCACCTTGTCTAGTCTAGCTTCTCAGGGTCAGGGTTGCTCTAATCAGCCTATACCTACACCTAGTCATCCACCAAAAATCAGACCCTCTCAATCCAGGCCCTCGGAGGATCCACGACCGCTGCAGCCAAGGACAACGAGACCGTCCACCACTTCTACTCCTGGATCTGACTCTGACTCTTCGACTATCACAACTTGGCCCGCAGCACTAAAACATGTGATGCGCACCGTAGGTCAAAACGAAGAGACCCAAGCGCGCATTCGCGGTGTGATCCGAAGTCAACACCATCATGAACAACAATGGTTCCACGCCCGCGAGGCATTATTGAAGCAGCAGAAAGGCCGCCCCGAGAAACAGAGAGAGCTAGATGCAGTCTTGTGAGTCTATCACTATGCTGCTCTGCGGTATTTTACTAGCGACGGATCACTAACGCCAAACAAGGAGGTCGATCGGTGCCCCTGTAAAAGAGGACGATGGCTCGGTATGTTCTCAGTGCCTCTGTTAATTATTCGCTCTGACTGTTTGTTATTAGACTGAAAAGGAGTTTGCCGCAGAGATTGCAACCTACGATGCAAAGGTTCATAGGGCAGCCGTGCAAATGGCAGATGCTATCATGGCCGAATTGCGCGGTTTGGGTATTCCATTCTTTACGCTTCGGAAGGAGCTGGTTCAAGATGGCCCATCCAACATAGAGGGCTCACATCCAGGAAGCCAGACCGGGTCAACTGTAACCAGTTCATCGCCAATTTCCAAGTCCGAGCTTGTGAAGTTGCAGCAACGCATGTTGGAGTTGCTGGAGGATCTGTGTCGATAGTGAGATACTTCTCAGCATACATGATTTGTCTTCGATTCCCATCCTCTTCAGAGTTTTTGTGAGTGATCGAGAAGAATGGCTGTGAAAATTCTTGATTTAGAATATATAAAGCGGGAGTTCTAATTTGAAACTAGAAATTCTTACTATGGTGTATGTATGCACAACCAAAGCTTCCTCTGTATATTCCTAAGCCAAACCATACGCACAATCATTGGGAATGAAGCTAATGTCATCAAACAAAACATTATCCGTATAAGAAGAATCCTCCGAATCACAAGCAGCGCCAATACTCAAAATCTCATTCTCCCTCTTTGGCACATAGCTCCCTGTGACCTCCGTCCACTCCCCAAAATTGAACAGCAGCACCGAGGCGATGCTACCGACTGTTGCATTGCGGCCAACGTACACATAGACCGAGCAGTACTCTGAGCCGGAAGGCGATGGAACCTGAGCCTGGGCACTGAATTTGTATTCCGTGTGAGGCTTGAGGTGTCTTAAGCCCTGGGAGATGGTGTTGCCGCGGTTTCCTACTGCGGTTTGAAGGTTACTGTGCATATCACTTCGTTAGTATCTGATATTGTAATTTGGCTGGGCAGAGAGGGAGATTCGTACAGGTAATAATCACCACTGTATGCGATTGTCCCATTGCTTACTTTGGCCACATTCACGGCGGATGGATGCCATGGAGCCAGGATGCCGGTTTCAAAAGAAGGGTTTGACACGGCATTACATGCGGAGAGAGCCATGATCGTTAGAATGCTGGATCAACGGTGAAGATAATTGTGAATGGAAATGCAAAAGAAAAGACAACCCATCTGGTTTTATATTGCAAGTGTCAGCTTATATTTGAGACACTTCTGCGGGATTTGCCGACGATCTGCAATTAAGCCTACATATACAGTCATTTTCAAGCCACTTTGCCGAAAATAGCTCGTATTGCGGTTCCAAATAAGCTTTGAGAGGGGCTTATATTCTGACGGTTGAAACCTGACGTCTTGCTGATGGAGTCCATTATTAATCGTACGTTGGAGCTGTAATATATACCGGATTTTAGGCCGCGGTCGCGACTTTCCCGATCGGCGCTTTACGAAGGCACTCAAGGTCATGAGAACATATTTGAGGTCAGACATGGACAGCACAGGCCTGTGTCTCGCAACTCGAGACAAATGATGACATAATAGGACATGCCGAAGTCCCGGCCCGAGAAACAACGGCGAGACTTGCCAATTCAACACTTCCAAGGTTCTGCCTTCGAATACGTTGGTCGCAGAATGATGTTCTCGTTTCATATGGAGAACTCCTCCTCACAGGAACAGTTGAAAGAACCAAAACCGAAACGTTGCAAGATCAGCATCGCATGTAACGTTTGTAAAGCCAAGAAAACAAAATGCGATGGTGCTAGACCAGGTAAGCGAATCAAACGGATTACGAAATCGACAGGGTGCGATCGATACTGTGCTCATATTTGGTGTGTTAGTATGCGGGCCTTGCTCAAAAAGGAAACAAGCATGTATATACCGGGAGGCTGATCGAGTCTCTCCCTCATCAAGTATGCCGTAAGTACTTGGAATAGAATCATCTTCAAAATATATAGCAGCCAAGCATCTCATAATGCTTGCTTGTGGCTCACTTGTCGCGGTCCATTACCTACAGATCAGCTTACGCGTTGAGCAACATACAGTTCAGATACTGCCCGAGAGAAGGCTACGATCGACAGTGCCTCCTGTAACACCGAGCAGGCAAGATACAGGAGCGAATGTCGAAACAGCTGCTCTCAAAATGAAGATAACGATGAGGCTAGCTTGTACAGCGGAATCGTATCTAACGGCAGTCTTTTTGGCGCATCTAGCGGGGCGCATATCTTGCATGAAGTTGAAAATGCGACACGCCCAAAAAGAGGGACTGAGAATAACCGGAAAGAAAGAAGTCGACTTTTGCCCAAACCGCTCGAAAAGTTGCCAAAATTGCAAAAAAAGGAAGCTAGCAGAGAACCCTCTGATACGCAGTTTGCTCTTCCTACAAGGAAGGTGGCTGACAACTTAATGAGTCTATATTGGGGTTATGTGGATAATATCTACCCCTGGCTCGACAAATCGTCTATCCAGAACGCATATGAGACTCTGTGGGTCAAAGAGGGAGAAATCTCTATGAACGAGAGGGCTTTGCACTGCATTCTCAATATCATGTTTGCCATGTCTTGTGTAGTTTCCCAGGCCGAAACACCTCTCTCTCGGTATCAATCATCGGTTGCTTTTTTTCAGAGAGCCCAAGGATTGATGTCCTATGAACTGATGGAACTTTACAATTTTGAAATCATTCAAATCCTTTTGCTTACAGCGGTGTATTTCCAACACGACAAAAAGCCCCAGAAATCATTCCGAAGCATTGGCACGGCGATTCATATCGCACAGGATCTGGGCTTGCATTTACCTGCCACAGTCGAATCAATCAATGATCCACATGAACGGGACCTTGCCCGTCAGGTTTGGAATGGATGTATTATCATGGACAGGTATAATATGAAGAGTCGATATTTTCAATGCGCGAACTAACTCTATATAGGATTGCTTCCATGACTTTTGGCTGCGCGCTCAAAGTTCCCCAAGCTGTTGCAAAACAAGGATTGGATACTTTGGTGCTACACTCAATGGACACTGGGAATGCAACTCTGCCTTCGAATATGAACTTTTACATATCATTCTGTCGACTACATCACATCATAGGAGACGTCTTAGAAACCTTCTATAACTCCAGTGATTCCAAAGCCGACCCTGATCTAAGCAGAAATCTCACCGGTGTGAACTTGAGCTCACCATTATCCTTCGATAAATTCACGAGCCTGTTTAGAATCGAGTCGGAGCTATGCAATTGGACCGAAAACCTTCACTCTTATTTTCGAATGCCATTCGACCTTGAAGATCCGACGCCGACAAAGCGTATGAAACGTCAAGCGAACATTTTACGCGCCCGGTTTGTATCCTGATACATGAGAATGTGAATTGCGGACTAATTTTTGTTGAAAGATATCTTTCTGTTCGGCTCCTCCTTTTTAGGCCGTTTCTTTCACAGATGCGCCATCGAAAGGCAGACAATGCTTCTGGTGTCAATTTGTACTCGGATGATCAAACCATTGGATATGTGGTCTTTCGGTGCCAAATTCAGTGTGTCAAAGCTGCTGAGGATATGATAGATTTCATCATCAGAAATCTACCAGAGCAGACGCAAGCGTATATATTACCCTCGAACTGGTACACCGTCTCATGTGAGTTACTCTCGTAAATGAGGCATAACGGTGTCAGCCACTAACAATTATAAGATATATACATGGCGACAACTATTCTGCTTGCTGCTCAAATGTCCCCACAGATAGTGGAACATTTTTCTTTCGCTCGTTTGAAGGGCCTTTTGCAACAGGCTTGTAAGATCCTCAAAGATTATGAAAAGTATGATACATTGGCTTCGCGGTGCAGTTCCGTCCTCAAATTGATCCAAGAACATATCGATATGCGCGGCTCTGGAGCAGACTATGTCACCGGAGAAGGTTCGCAAGACGAAGTCGACCATGACAGCACAATGATTCAAGGCGCAACCATGGAAGGACAAGAGCCTCAAAATAATATAGGAAACTTGGCCTGGCTTGAGAATTATCCGTTTGATTGGAACGATTGGCCTTTGTTTTTTGCACAGTTGGACGACGAAACCAGTCCAGCTGAAAGATGGGGAATGCAAGCATAGCCTCGACTAATGCAGAACATCAGACCTTTCTTTTCACTCAGAAGGGTTGCTAAAAGATGGTTATTACCAGTCCAGCAGTAAATGCTCATTGTACTGAAGTACTGAAGATTCTCTTGCATGCATCACATGGTGTTCAAATTTAGATATACCAAGAATTGAGTATATTTATGACCACCAGGTAATAGTCATAGCAGCTTCAGATCTTTGATCTGGCATATTTTAGCGTATGGGCTGAAGTCTACCAGGTTAGTAGGAGACCACGGTGTGATTTGCGCTGATCCATGGAGAGTGTCCCTGTATGAGAATATAGTTATTTTATCTGTGTTGTCGGTTCCTTTGTCTCGATATACGCTTGGCCCTAACATGAATATTGCTTGTATTATAGTGATAGAATTAAAAATGCATGGGAGAAGATATATGGGTGAGGGAAACTAGGCATGAAATCGGCCTCTCACATATTCACTGCCAACTGACTCGAACACTTTGTATTGCTATCCTCATGCCCGCTCCAGATCACAAGATCATCCCCAAGTATTGGCAAATGAACTCGCACTCGAATTTCAATCGCCAATCTGTCCACCACTATTAGAATCACATGGTAGACCCCTCCGAGGAGCAAGCTACAGCCATTCTATGTTTTGAGGATGATAACAGTAGGGAACCGCGGGTGTCAACCACCGCGGTGTCATGCTCGAATCGCTCAACTGGACCACAGGCTTCAGGGTGGTCATGTGGCCAAATGGCCCATCTTGGAAACTGGTCATGAGCGATTCAGTTCCAGATTCTTCAAAATATTGAGGAAAAACCCTCTTCCATCCATCCATGACGATGAGAAGGATCTCCGCGACAAAATAGGCAGGGCTTATGGGATCCCATTTGAACAACTGATTGCTCCGTTCAACAACCTCCGGCGAGTAAAGACCAATCTCGGGCTCCAGTGAGATCGCATCTGCCTTCACCAAAGAGCTTGTCACACGATATGAGCCACCATGTCGAGCCCGATCCCGGAGGGCCATAAGAGCCCCCACAGCACCCACAAGACCAGTGGTCATATCAGAGATTGGAAGCGGTGGAAGAATGCCCAAACCATCCGTATGGCCTAAAGACCGGCCCATCACGTAGGACGATCCTGAGGCTGCATCCCCAATCTGCTGCCAGCCAGGTCTTTCATGGTACGGCCCGTCGGGGCCGTAACAGTTCTCCTCGACGTACACTATCCCTTTACCACGGTTTCCGGCCATCTCGAGGAGATCGTTGACGCCGAAGCCCTTTCTTGCGATTGCATTGGGGCGGAAGCCTTGAACGAAAACATCGGCACCCTCAATGAGTTCCCGCAGTCGTGCCTTATCTTCGTCCTTGGTCAGATCAATATCAATAGTGCGTTTCCCTGTGTTCAGGGTAAGTTGTAAAGCCTACACATTATCAGTCAGTATAAAGAAGTTTGAAGGCCAGAATCCACGACATACGTTAAGGTCTACCAAGCGGCTGCAGTTCACGCGAATGACATCGGCACCGAAAGCAGCGAGAGTGGAGCCAATGACAGGACCAGCAATGATGCGAACCAGCTCAATCACTTTGATACCTGCTAGGGGCCGCTTATCGTCCGGGATATTGGGCAAGGGAGTTGGGGGAGTCGGAATTGCATGCGACTGTCGAGAGTAGCCGACTAGTGGGTGACTCGCAAGGGTCTTTCCCATCAGCGTGTCTAACCACCCTTGGGGTGTAAAGCAGATGCTGCCGCAAAACCCGTTCTTGACGTTGTGCATTTCCAACTCGTCTGCGGTCCATTGCTCGACATGCCGGCTGATGTAGTCATAAGCTTCATCGAACGTCTTGGCAGGGTAATTAGGATCCATTCCCATGGATTTCAGGACCGGCACGGGATCAAGGGAACCGTGAAGTTGATACGAAACCCCCGGCGTCTTTGTCTTGTAGATGGCAGTAGTTCGTTGTTTGATCGGTGTGGACATACAGCCGTGCTCGAAATCCTGCGGGAAAAGAGCTGACAGCTGACGCGACCTTAACAGTTCAGGAGCGTCTTTCCCTTCGACGGAAGCCGCAAGAGTATTTCCCAACCAGATAGCAGCATGATCGGTGTTGACGGTGACCTGCTGGGTACGTGCCGATGTGCCATCACGATCTTCGACAATTTCGTGGGCTAAAACTCCACACATGGCATGTAGGGCAGCTGCAATGAGAGGGGCCTTGATTGGACCAGGAATAATCGGTAGCTCGCTACCATTAAACTTGACTGTATTCCAAAGCTCTTTGTCTTGAGTGAACCCAGGAGTATTCTTTGCAAGATACTCAAAAATTCGAGCAGTATCCTGGGGAACTGGAGTGAACTCCGTATCCATGAAACTCCCAGGACCGTAGATATCGGTGCTCGGGGTGGTTTTGTGTGGATGAGGCATTGTGAATTCAGTAGGATGTTGAAGATTTAGAATAGAGAAAGACAAAGTAATCTGGTCATGCAGCTTCAACATCACATCTCTAGGGTCGCGAAGTATTTATATCCCCTTGTACGTCACAGACAACAATTAGTGAGAGATATGATCTCCGAGGCTCGGAAGCTCCCAAGGTCGGAAGGCCAGAAATGGCACCGGAAGTGCCAAAACACGGCATTGTGATCGCCCTAAGTTGTGCAAGCCCCTTATGCTGAAAGTTAATGGCTCAAATTATGTATCTAACTATACGTACCGGTGGGGCTTTCCTGATTGAGCTGTGAGGGGGTAAGTCTAGACATTGTCAAATTGATTCCAGCGTATAAGCAAAGATCAGAACTACCTAAGTTGAGCCTTTCGCGACTATCCGTCCTTTTTCGAGCTTTCGCCCCAGGTAACTGGCATAGCCCTTCAAGCCCAATAGTCCCACCGCAATAAAAAATGCCAGATAGTTAAATCTCAGAGAGCAAACCTCCTCAGCGTTCCAATGACCACACACCGGGAGAGAGCCAAAGAGAAAAGCTAGGAGTGCAAAGATGGTTCTATATTCCCAATACTTTTACCAATCATCACCGATGGTAGGTATTTATTTGCTTACAGGAAAGGATGCTTAGCAAGCGGAGCCACGAGGTATTTGACAACGAGGTTATCGGGATAGGAGTCCACAATCAACATGAGGGGTGAAGGAGGTAGCTCATCGTGCAGCTGGCTTCCCGCAGAGGATCCTAAGGATGGAATAGATGGTTTTTCGAAGATGTTCTTCTCCTCCATATTGACAAGACTGGAAATTCAGAGAGACATACACAGGAAGAACGTTCGCCAAAAAAGGAAATCTAAGTTTGGGCGGTGAAACATCAAGTTGGAATTATCACCTCCCCAGGACAGACATTTTCCTACAATAAGAATAATAGAATATTACGTTATTGTAATGTATAGACGGTATCAAGCTGATACCTACCATACCTAGGCACCATATCTACCTACTCAGGTACGGAGTAGGTAAAGACTTATTAGAGACCATTGGGGGAGGTTATGAGCTTGTGGAGCTGTGGGGGTCACCGAGTACAAAAGTACATACGGACTCCGGAGTACACCAACTGTTGATTAACTATGGAGTATGCTTGTAAGACAATCCTAATCCTAGCCGCGAAAATTGCGTAGTATCAAGAGTAGTAAAATGACGAGTGCGACATCCTTGCCTTCACGAATACAAAACAGGGACGTGGGAATTAAGTATCGAAACAATTCATTACCATCATCTCTCTCGTTGCAGTCAAAAAATCCACAATGAAGCTCCTCCACAGCCTTTGTTTCCTCTCTGTTGCCAGTGCCGCGGCTACATCCGTTCCTGTGGCTTATATCCTGACACCATTTTGGTCCCAGGCGAGCTTGTTGGCTATGGTGCCGGTGAGGTCGAGATCCGCACTCCAAATGAAGTGAATGTTCTCGAGGCACGAGCTTTGACCTCAGATATTGATCAGTAACTAAGTGGATCAGGGTGCTTAGGTGATGATCAGGTGATGCTCAGTGAGCACGTTGATTATATAATAGCCCGTGATCAAGTCAGGGTGTTTTACTCGGTGATCAAAAAGCGGCAAGAGGTGAGCACTCAAACGGAAAGGGAAAGGTTTCAAGTTCCAGGCATTATCCGGTACATATGTACTCCATACTCCATAACAGTGGGGCGTCGTTCGCCCCAGTAGATCATTGAGCTCCGTCGGCCTTATAATAGATGAGATAGAACCTTTGAACTTTTTAATCCATACCTATATTTGTAAGATTACTAATATTGAACATGAGCAGCCCAAAGTGACAGCTAAATCGAAAAGATAAAAATGGCGAGAGACAAATATCGAAGTTTTCCCTGAAGGATAGATGGAAGTTCGTTAAAGAAGATTCAGAGTAGAACCACCCCGGACGTCCCGGAACCCGGCACTGCGCAGAATATTGGCTGACTTCGAAATCTCGGAAGCGTTTCCGGGAAGCATGTCTTCCCGATTCGGCATGCCGACTCCGGTTCCTCTTGAGTAACTTGCCCCGTCCCTGTTCCCTCGAGGGGCTCACAGACTATTTATTAGCCTCACTGTACGCATAGTCAATTTTTATAGAAACTCAATTCAAACGAAGAGGTCGAAATAAACGCTTCGCAAGTCGAAAATCATGGCTCGTCCTTCCATTAAAACTGTCGGTGTGATCGGAACCGGTGTGATCGGCTCTAGTTGGACGGCACTGTTCCTGGCTAAGGGCTTGAAGGTCATTGTGACGGACCCGGCGCCAGGAGCTGAGGGCAAACTCCGTGATTATTTGATAAAGCATTGGTCAAGCATACCCGATGTCAAGGTGACACAAGGCGATTACTTGAACAATTTCAAATTTGTCGAGAAAATCGATCCTCATCTTGGGGAATTAGATCTAATACAAGAAGTGAGTTAGCCATTGCAAAAAGAGGTCTCTTCATGGTTGGTGCTGATCGACCTTTCAACATAAGAATGGACCGGAGAGGCTGGACTTTAAACGCCGTCTTTTGGCTCATTTGGACGCAAACACCCCCGAGAA